GATTATTAATATTTCTATTATGAAAAATAATAAAAAATATTTTATTATTATTTTTAAATAAAAATAATTTGAACTAGGTGAAGATAAAACTGCCATGTAAGGATGTTTGTTAATCTTAAATGGAAAATATATTTATTTGTTTGTACAGTAATGGCTTTTTTAATTGATTATTATATTAGTTGATGATTATTTCAAAAATTGATTAATCGTTTCAACCCTATATTTCACTACTTTATTTTTGTTTACTTTTGCAATATGATCCAAAAAATAAAACACATTGAAGTTAGTGATTGCAAAATGTAATTTCTATTTATAAGGCCTAAAAACCAGTTTCCCACTCTTCTGAACCAGTCATGTGATTTCCTGCCTATTATCCATCCCCCTTTGGAGGCAGAGGTGCCTCTCGCCTTTCTGTCAGCCTCTGAACACTTTGGTGTGAATGTTTCATGCCTTCTACATCTGCTGCATTCAGCAGCAAGCTGCTTCTTTATTCTCCTCCAATTCTGCACAGATTTCAGACAGAAATCTGAAAAATACTTCAGTGAAAAAAGGGGATCTGCCAGGAGTAATTGAGCCTTCTGCAAATAGGCTCATCTGCTCTCCCCCCTTTAGAAATGTAGATGAAACTACTCATGAGCAAATTGTTGTTTTCATATTAGTGAGGGGTATTGCATAACCTAAAGCAGAAAGTGGAGCTCTGACGCCTCCTGCTGGTCGTCACTGCATCAAGTTTGGATGAAAATACGTATATGTAAAAAAAAAATCTATTTTAGAAGATATACTCTGCAAAAACACTAAATCTTTCCAAGTATTTTGGTCCTGTTTTTAGTGCAGATATATCTTAGTACATTTGAAATGAGACAAAACTATCTAAAAAGTAACTTTTCAGCAAGAAAATTGAGTTTTAAGCCAATAAATTCCTTAATATTGATGAGAAAGTATGGAAGATTATTTCACCTATAATATGGAAATGTCTTGCTTTATGTGAAATTATGATATTAATGAATTATTGACTTAAAACAAGCTTGTAAGTTAGTTTTGCCTTAATTTAAGTGTACTAACTAGACCAAAAGTACTTGGATATTATTTTGTGTTTTTGCAGTGTTTCATAAGCTTTGCACAAAAACACAAAATCTTACCAAGTATTTCTTGTTTAGTTTCTACTGCAAATATCTTAGTAGATTTGAAATAAGACAAAACTAACTTAAAAGGAAGTTTTAAGTCCTTAATATTAATGAAAACGTTCTAGTTCCACTGGTGCCGTTACCTAGCAACGCCAGCCAAGCCCAGCCCGTCTCCTAGCAACCCGGTTCTAGTTCCACTGGCAGATTATTTCTCTTATAACAAGACATTGTTCCCGTGTTATAAGTGTTATAATATGCCAGTGGAACTAGAAAGTTTTCATCAATATTAATGAATTATTGACTTAAAATTAGCTCTGAAATCTGTAAGTTAAATGTGCAAAGATATTTGCACCAGAAACTAGACCAGAAATATTAGATAAGATTTTGAGTTGCTGCAGTGTGTCACAGTGTGTTCTGAATATGCAAATCTTGACATTTCCAGGTGAACAAAGTGCTGCGAAACCACAACATCAAGCCTCACTGGATGTTCGCTCTGGACAACATCATCCGGAAAGCCGTGCAGACCGCCATCACCATCCTGGTGCCAGGTAGCGTCCGCGGCGTCTCGAGCAGAGCCCCTCTAATCGAGTTAGAGCCGGCCTGCTGCTGGCCAGATCCTACTGATGGATATGTGAGCTGTTTGGTCTCAGTGCTCAGCTTTGAGCACAAATAAGAAGAGAGGAAGCGAAAATGCTTTATATTCAGGGAATACATGGAGAAAGACGCTCAGATTTCGAATGAATATTTAGCTTTTTTTTAATCCGATTAACAATCTGCTAAAACGTTACAGAGTGATACATCGGAAGCTAAATTAATCTAAAAATAACTATATTTGCTTTGGCTTTTCCTTTTCTGCTTGCACTGCAAAAACACAAAATCTTACCAAGTAATTTTATAGTGCAAATATCCTAGTTCACTTGAAATTTACGAGTAACTTTTTAGCATAACAGAAACATGTTTTAGGGTTAACCCAATTAATTTTGATTAATTAATTAATGAAATAATTAACTAATTTGGTAATTGGTTAATTATTAACGGGGGTTACAAATTCCAGCAGTAATTAAGCCAAAACTGTATAAAAATATGTACATTTAAATACACTTACGATAAAACACTTTTGTCTGTCAGTATGTTTTAGCTAAAACTCCTCAAACTGCAAAGTTTTAGCTTCACTCGGTTCAAATTAAGCAATAAAATGTTTATTTTCTTAAATAAAAAATGAATGTTGTTATTTATTTGCATCTTTTAATCTATTTCTAATATTATAGAAAAAAGTTTTAGGTGGTCAAATGAAAATCTATGCAATATGCCAATTTTTATAGATTAATTGTCAGAATAATTGATTATTTATTTAGTTGTATTACAGGACAAAAGATGCTAGAATTGAAACTGTTATTTTCTTTACAAATTAATTAATAAATTTGTTCACAAATTTAACTTGTTTGCAAAACATCCAATTTATAAAAATAAATATGCTGTAATTTGATTTAAAACAAAAACAACTAGAACTCCTGCCGGCTTAATGAATGAAGAGAAATAAAGTTTTCCATTTCATTGTACAAATAAAAATCTGAAAAGTGTGGGTTGCATTTTGTGTTCAGCCCCATTTCTTCTGTTTCCTCTAAATGAAATCAAGTGCACGGCGATCTAAATACTTCAAGCTTTTATCTCGACTTCTGAATTCCAGTTTAACAAAACAACCAGAAAAGCAGCAACGTTTCCGCCTCGCTGCTGGTTTCATGAACAGGACTTTCTGTCTTGTTTTCAGAGCTGAGGCCTCACTTCAGCCTGGCCTCAGAAAGCGATGCGGCCGACCAGGACGACTTTGACGACGACGTGGAGCCCGTCAGAAACTCCACCCACCAGAGCCGCGTGCCCGCCGTCGTCGCCCAGGACGACACGGTGGCGACGTCCGGCGTGAGCACGCTCAGTTCCACCGTCTCCCACGAGTCCCACAACGCGCAGCGATCCGTGAACATGGAGCTGGGCCGCATGAAGCTGGAGACCAACAGGTAGACACTGATAACTCCTGCAGGGGTGTTCTGGTCGTGTTCGTCGTCTCCTAAAGTAAACCTCCTGTGTGTTGACTGCAGGCTGCTAGAAGAGCTGCTGCAGAAGGAGAGAGAGTATCAGGCCATCCTGCAACAAGTGCTGGAGGAGAGAGAGCAGGAGATCCGACTGCTGAGGATGCGATCTGAGCCTGCAGGTCTGCGCTTTAATGAAACCAACACAACCTGGCTGTGGTTCAGTGTGCAAAAGATGTGGAGACAGTATAAAAAAGTGTGATGATACACATCCACATATACACAAAGATGGCACTTTTTTATCACATTCTGGAGGTGCAAATTGGAAGATTTCAGACTATATCACATATTTCTTGACTTTCTATCGAACTTAATCATTTGGCTTCCTTCTTGTGTGCAGATTTTGCACACAAGTTTAAAGGGGAATTATTATGCAAAATTCACATTTTGCACATTTTTGTACTTCCTCCATTTGGGTCTCAACTGCTTCTAAAAACAGTCCAAGCGCTAAAAAAGTTTTTGGCAATAAGTTAAAAGTTTTTTTGTTGTCTGGAAAATGAGCCTTTTCAAAAACTTTCTGAATGTAACGTCACAAATCAGTAGGAACTGCCCCGTTACCTAGCAACCCCAGCCGAGCCCAGCCTGTCACCTAGCAACCCATGCGAAGTTTTAACACATTCGATCAGCTAGTTTTACCACTGTATGCAATGTACAATGGCTGCTGGAAAAAGGCAAGTGTTTTGTTGTTGATTTACCATCCAGAAACCACTTGCTGCTTTCTTGTTGGTTGTGCAGGAGGCTCCACTTCTGCTTATCAAAGATGTACAGCTGTATAACTACACATTTGTTTATAGCCATTTTCACGTGCGAGTATAAATGTTGATTTGGGGACGTGGCCAGGAGCAGCTTATTTGGATTTAAAGTGACAGATGCCCTAAAACAGCTCATTCTGAAAAGAGCTCAAAACTAAAATCTCATCATATTTCATAGAAAAGATGCAATGAACATGTTTAGTATCCAAACCTGTCCAAGGAAGCAGAAAAGGTCACCTTTTCAATAGCATGCTTTATCATTTAGTTTTGGAAACATCTTCCTGGCTACTATTTTTAAATAAATGCGAGAATTTGCTCTGGTTTAGAACCCCCCACTGCGTCAGAAAGCTTACAGGATCGGAGACGTGAAGCTGGAGAGAGACACGAAGACCCTGAGCTGACCGGCTGGCTGAGGCTTTCCGGAGCTGACCAGGACGCTATAGACAGAGTAAAGACATTCTACTTTTTATTTCATCATTACAGGAACAGGTGGTTGTTAAATTAATATTCATGTTTTTGTCTTTTCCTTTAGATACTGAACGAGGAGTATACTTTAAATGACATCCTTCATTATGTGACCAGAGACGACCTGAAGAGTTTAAGACTGAGGTAGTTAAACATTCACTCTTTACTGTAACTAAAGCTCAGTTTCACTTCTGTGTTCAGTCACAGAAATACAAGCAGACGATTAAATCTGTTCTGTACAGGAATACAGAAGTGAAGCTGCAGCAGCTGCCTGTTGCATCATTGTGCATTGTGGGGTTTTACTCTGTTGGCACAGAAAAACTTTACGCTTTCCTCTTTTCTCATTGGGACCAGAAGTTCAATAGCTTAGTAGTGGCTTTATAGTATAAAGGGGAAAGCTCTGGAATTGTGTTTTCTGTGAATTATGCTCATCAGCTCTAACTGGATGAGGAAGTTCAGTAGATCTGGAATCTGATTTGTCTTTCTTTGCAGTAAAAATATTCGTACCACTCAAATTTTACCGCTTTTCGTCATGTTACAACCACAAACTTCAACATTTTAACACTTAAGGGAGAAGTGAAAGGAAAACAAAACGTGCTTATCTTGTCAACAGACTCTCCTGGCTAAGCTGGAGAAAAACACTCCTGCAGCATGATGCTGCCTTCACCGTGTTTTACTGCAAAAGTTGTTGTGAACACAGTTAGTTTTCAGCCACAGATCATTTTGCATTTGAATTAGTTAAAAAAATAATAGAAGCTTAATACCCGACTTTTTGTAGATATTAATGTCTATAATATTTCTACATCTATGAATCCTTTATCTTCCACTTTAAAATCTTGCTTCACTTTGTTATCAATAAATACATATAAGTTTGTGGTCGCAAAAGGACAAAATGGGGAAAAGTTTATAGAGGTATGAATAATTTTGTAAAGCGATATTTGGCGCCATCTAATGGCCTTGCTAAAAATACTTTTACACATGTTCCTATCTAGCTGTTTCATTATTTGCCTATCAGTGTTGTTGATTTTTACTTCAAAATATTGAAGTAAAAATCAACAAAAACATTTCTTAAAAATACACAACAAAAATATTTCTTTTGTTGTGTATTTTTTGAGTTTGTTTGTTTTACTGTTTCTTTTCTGTCTAATCTGTGAACATTTTGCATCTGTTTTTTTGTTTTGTTTTGTTTTGTTTTGTTTTTTTATCCAGTCCATTAATTTTTTTCTGATTCTTATTCAGGTTTTTTGCACTGATTGAATTAATCTTGTCTTGTTTGGTTATAATAATTAGCAGTTAGAAACTTAACTCCATGTCCTGTTACTTTTTCCTATTAATTTTCTATTAACTCAGCATTTTAAATTGGACTGAGTTGTACATGTTTTAATACTTCTTGAATCTCAAATGTATAATAATCAATTAAAATAGTTAAAGAAGCTATTATCATAATGGATTTCTACTAAATGCAGTGTATCAGCTGTGATATCCTTTGAGTTTACAGCTTTTTCTCTCCTTGTTTCTCAACAGAGGTGGAGTTTTGTGTAAACTATGGAAGGCCATCACTGACTTCAGGCAGAAACCAGCATGACGCCTTTTCTACGAGAAGCCAACCTCGATGTTACCTCAGTATTTATAGGAACAACCAGACGTTTAGGAGGAAAAAACCTGCCTTTATTGGACAGCTTTCCAACCACACAAGAACCTTCTGGAGATTTTTTCTAATTTTCAAACCAAGATTCTGGATTTTAGGAGATTTTTAAAACTATTTTAAAAGAAAGTGCCACTTGTTTTGATAGGACTGTTGGGTAGAAAACGCTGTTTTTGTTACAGATCCACAATGACAAAATTATTTAAATGTTAGGCTTGTTTTTAGCAAAACATTTTCTCCAGACTTATCGTTACGTTTACAGAAGTGGAGACTGACCGCTTTTTAAAACGCCTGAGACACAAAATACTACATCCAACGTCGTCTATACTAATATTTTTATCGCAAAATCTTATCACTACTTTATTTAAATAAATTTTATTTAATTAAACTGTGGAACATGACAGTGCATGCTCCTTGGTTTTAGTTTTATTTTTTATTTAAATATTTTCTTCACATGTCCTTTTAAGGAGCAAATTTACAGTTTTATTGGAAATTATATTCTTCTTGTAAATAATGTGTTATACTTCATCTGTGAATGACTTTTATGTACTTTATAGAAGATATTGCTAAACATAACTAAGCCTCCATGTGAATTGGACCAAGCCTGCGTTATGAAGACAACGGGGAAAATGACGTGTATATTATTGTATTTTCCAGTCTCAGCTGTCATAGGAAGAAGTAGCATTCAGTTGGTAATTAATTAATATAACATGATCTCATCATTGGCTTTTGTTGTTGTACACCGGCACAGTTGTATTTATATCCTGCTTGTAATCCTTGAATCTGATGTATTTTGTGGTGAAATGAAAACAGATTTCTCTTTTATGGATCTTTTTTAACTATTTTCTCTGAAATGGCGGAAATAATCATGAACAGATTGTCAGTTTCATTTTATATTCAAGATGATTCAAGATTTTTGTGTCATTGTTAAAATAAAAATGTTTATGTTGAAGCTGTGAAAAAAGTGTGAAGTGTATTTACATTTCCCTGCTTTCATAGGCGATCATACACTGATGTAAAATTTAAATGTTTGCAGCTAAAAGTACCCGAAAAGTAACTGCAAAGGTATGAGTAACTGTACCACAGTGTGAGAACTATGGCCAGTTACAGACTTGAGAATAATTTCTCAACTTAAATTAGCAATTCTAATAAATCTGTACAAATTAAATATATATATATATATATATATATATATATATATATATATATATATATATATTTAAGTAATACACTAATATTATTACCATGGGGGGGAAATGTACGCTTATATCAAGGGCCAAAAAACAGCATAATTTAATCAATAAATAAGGTCATATTTATTGTTTGAATTATTACATTTAGTAATTTATGTGTACTATTTAATTTATTACATTTAAACATTACATTGCTTAATTGTAATAATATAAGTGAAACAAAACATGTAAATGGTATAAATAAAAACACTAAACATTATTTAAATATTTGAATGTTTTTTATTAAACGTCCAACTAAGTTATTAAATCCTATGTGATCACTTTAGTCCTGTTGCAGCACATTGTATATTTAAATTACGTCACATTTGCTACAGATGAGGTGATTGTACTGTAGTTAAACTGTTGTGCAGGTTGACCAATCAAATCATTTTCACAGTTTTAGGTACCAAAATACGGACCAAAAATAAATACTGAAATAATTTAATGATTTAAACATGCAATTCAAGTTTTATTGCGCATTTACAACTGTAATTTATATATGAAATAAATTCATTATATATTTCCACAAGGACATATTTTAGCTTAAATTTATTTGATCCAGTTTTAAATAAGCTATCGAAGATTAAGATATTTATTTAACTATTTATTTAGATCCCATCACTTTTGATTCACTATACACTACATCTGAGCTGCAACAGGTGAATTGCTCGTCGCCATATTTGTTTTTCAATTATTAGTGTGACGTCAGCATTCTGCTCTCGCGACCGACCCTCTCTCACCATGACAACGGCAGATGACTTTTAGCATCGTCGGGAGACAGCCGTTACCTCCGCCGCCGGTGATATAGAGGCGTTTTTTTCCTAATAAATTCGTGTTTTAAATCGGCCCGCCTGGTTTATTTTTCATGTCGGAAGGTCGCTGGAGCTGATAGAGCCCCTCATGAGCGGGAGGCCAGCCGGAGGCAGAGAGAGACGCTGTTTTACCGAGTGAACAACAACAACAACAACATGGCTCTGCTTCAGCATCCCCGGCTGCTGCTCCCCTGTGTTTTCCTGCTGCTCTTCGCCGGCCGTGTCCACGCCCGCTCCTCTCAGATATCAGATCTGAAATCTAAAATCTCCGGGGTGGAGGAGCTGCTGGAGGAATTCCGGAAGCAGCTCCAGCAGGACCAGGCATACAGAGCGGCCGACGTGAGCGACTCCTGCGTAGGCGACTTCAGCGCCGCGGAGCAGCGCATCATCCGGACAAAGGCCTCCATCGAGCAGGGAGCCACCTTCCTGTTGGCCCCGGACACGGTGTACACCTGGAGGGACTGCTTGCACGCCTGCTGCTCGCAGCCTCACTGCACGGTGGCGGTGGTCCAGGAGGACCTGCAGCGACCTGCGGACAGCCTCAGCTGTTACCTGTTTAACTGCACCTACAGGAATAAAAACATCTGCTCCTTCGCTCCGCAGGAAGGCTTCACCACCTACAGCCGGACACCGAACGGCACGCTGGGGCACCGGCCTGGAACCACCGGGAGCCCCCGGCGAGCTGGGGAGGATGACACCCCAGGTGGGAGCTGTCTTTATAAAACCTCATCATTCTGTAGGATTATAATGCTAATAACAAATCACTATTAAAGGTTAGCTTACAATCATATTTTTAAAAGTACTTTATTTACCCCAAAAGGAAATTAAATATAGCTGACTATCAGGGCTGTTAACATTCAAGTATTGTCAAAGTTGGGTAGTAAATAGTTACATTTACTTGAATAACTTTTTTTTGTACTTTTAGGAGTATTTTTACTGCGCTGTTTTAACTCTTACTTGAGTAAAACTTCTGGGTTCTCCACTGAATGAGAAACAAACATGTTTTAACCAAAAAATCAACAGACACACACCTGCAGTTTTTGTTTATTTCATAAGTTTATATTGAAAGAAACTGATTTGGAAAAAAAAATATTTGGCCTGATTTTGTTATTTATATGAATAATTTTGGTTTTTGAAACAATAATGTGAAATAATTTTATCAGTTACTCAATATTTTTACCATAAACTTTGTTAATCTTTTCCCAGTATGACTGTTGGAATGAATGTACTGTGGTGTGAATACTTTTGCAAAAGCTTTGTAGTTTCTATTTTACTCAGCCGATTAAATTGTGGCAAAGTTCCTGGTCAACTTAAAATTAAGCTTTAAAGATGCAATTAGGAAGTGAAAAAAATTACATTTTTATAAAAATTATACCAAAGTTGTTTTTTATATGTTCTCTGGTTCATGTTCAGAAAATAGAAACATTTTATTAACCATTTTCTGTAAACAATTCTGTCTATTTACTGAATTTCATTCTTAATGTCCTCAAAGGGAAATCAGGCTATTAGACACTGATAGTATTTTATAGCAACTGAGGAAGCATTGCCAATTGTTCACATATACAAATGTTTTATTTTGTCAGTGTAAAGCATGACAGCAGAATGTTGACCTTTTCACTGTAAATTTGGTTTAAATTTACTATAAATGATGAGAATATGATTTGTTCGACAGTAAAGTCTCTTTCTATCAGCCAGGCGTCTCAGCACATTGCAACTAAACATTATCAGCTGGTATGTCACTGCTAAGGCGCCACGGTTGGATTAATGATTGTCCTCTAGATCAGGATGCTGAGAGCAGGACCAGATGTTGTGTAGCTTTAGCTGAATGTCAGTAAATGTAAAACAAGTGGTTCAATTTTCTTATTTCAGATTTTGATTAGCTAATTTTTTTATGCTTTATGTCACCAAAGTGAATATATTTAGTTTTCAACTTTCTAAAACACGTGTGCTAACCATTTTTTGTTAATATAGTTGAAATACAATTTTTTCTTTAAAAACTATTTACTTGTGGCTTTTCTTTGTTTGATTAAAAGTGGGGGTGCACTGATTTATCGGCACCAATTTCCTTAATTCTGAGAGAATGGTGATCGGCCGATACTTAAATGTGATGCTGATCTTATGCACCGATCTGATCGACCTCAGCAAAGGTCTAAAAATCAGCCGCTGTCCTCTTCTGCTCTCCCATGAGAGAAGTTTGACTGACAGACCGGCCCGCTGGGTCATGTCTGCACAGATGCAATTAACAATAGTCGCTCAGCTGTTTCCAATTCAGCGATTTTATTGCAACTTTTAGTGACATTTCAGACAAAAAAAAATTGGTATCGGCCAAAATCGGAATCAGCATGTCAGGCTTTTAAAGAGCCAGAAAACTGCAATCAGTGCACCCATGATTAAAAGTCTAAACTTCTAATATTCTACTCCGTAATTTTAGCTTCAAAGCTTAATATCGTAGTAGGGTGGCATTAAGTTCTGCAGCAAAAGCTGTACAAAAGCAGGAGTGTTATTAATACGCTTTGTGAAAAGGAACCAAAATCAGTGTTTAGTCAAACTTAACCTAAATCAGAGACGTAAACACCACAGGACTAACGTCGGGTCAAATCCACAGAAACGGACGAGCCTCCTCGCAGCGATGCGGGGCAGGACGTGGTGATCCAGCTGCCCACCGACTGGGCCGTCCTGGACGGCAGGGACAGCGTGGACGACCACAGGATCACCCACTACGAGTGGACTCTCGTTAGAGGAGACACAGCCGTCAACATGAAGGTCTGTTTTTACGTTTTATCTGTCACTAAATCCAGCAGAACGGACACAAAACGCCAAAACGTTAAATTAATAATTTGCTCATATTTATGAAAAAGTTCACCTTGGCAGATAATTTTCACTTTTAGCAAGACATTCTTCACACATAATTGAAATAATTATTTCACGCACTTTTTCATCAGTATTAATGAATTTTTAATTTTAAACCAGCTCCTCGATCTTGCTGAAAAGTTGCTTTCAAGTTAGTTTTGTCTCATTTCAAATGTTATTTGCATTAGAAACTAGACAAACAATATCTGGTAATGTTTAGTGTTTTTATGGTGAAGGTGTTGCTCTAGTTCATTATCATAGCTGCAAACACAGCTCTATGTGAAGACATGTCTTTGGAAAACTTGTACTTGCACAAAAATACAGTTTTAACCTTGATGAGCCAGGTGAACCACGGAGCTGCTTCTCTTGATCAGCGCTCAGTCAGATGATGCAAATATTTGCTCTTCCACTGTGAATGATCAGGTTGTTGTTGTGAGAGACATGAGGGAATAAAAAGCATTGACGCTCGGTTGACAGTAAACCAGTTCACTTGAATGCACAGCTCCATATTTCCACGCTGTATCAACAGAGATTAGATTTGGTTTTGCATTCACAAAGCCCAGTGAAAAACATGAGCCGGTTTCAGTGACCAGAACCTCAGAGATCATTTCCTTAGAGATCATTTAATCAATTCTTCTTTTTGCTCTCTTTCTTTTCTAAACAAAGATAGAAAATGTTTTCAAAAAGTGACTTTTATTCAGGCGTCCCTTTTGTGAGTTATACTAGTATCAGGGTCAGGCCACGAGAATTTTTGTTCGATTATGAGAATTTAGCCGTAGCATTAGCAGAAACAATTTTAACCAGAAAATAGTTGTTTTAAAAAGAAAAAAAATGTTTTAATGAGAAAAAGGTTTGAATTATCAGGATTTGACTTGAGCAACTAGTTTCAACGTCCTGCGACTGATCAACTATTATTTGTAAAACTTAAACGGCGTAACGAATAACTTCACCAGATGTTCAACATTCCTCATTCATTTTTTGTTAGTTTTTGTATCTAAGTTCTCATAAAATTATGACTTTATTTTGGTAATTAAAAAAATTAATCCTACCCCGGCTCTTAATATTCCATCGTAGAGTTAATTTAAATAAATAGAAGCTTGTCAAACAAGATGGCCGCCTCAGTGTGATGACATCACTCTGAACTATAGAAACCCAACAACAACTGGTGAAAAAAATCCAGATTTTCCACAAATTAAATCTTCAAAACCCAACAGTTGAAATCCCTGGTATGAACCTGGGCATGCTTCATTTTGTTTGTGCACACTGAAGGCGACCCACCCAGGGCTGCTGAAGGTCAGCGGTATGCAAGAGGGCGTCTACACGTTCCAGATGACTGTCACCGACTCGGCGGGGCAGAAGAGCTCCGACAACGTCTCCGTCACCGTGCTGGCACCAAAACACCAGGCGGAGGGTGAAAGGCTCTCCAACAGTGTCTCCAATTTTGATTCTGACTGTTTGGAGTTTGAGTGGTTAATCGTATTTGTGTTCACAGTTTGCACTGGTGACTGCTCCAACTACCAGTTCAAGTGTGACGATGGCTGCTGCATCGACATCTCCTACGCCTGTGACGGGAGGCAGCACTGTCCCGACCGCTCTGACGAAGACTTCTGCTCAAACTGTACTGATTTTCATCAGTTAATGTTTTATAAGATTAAAATTAGTTTCAATCAATTAACTTATAACATCTGCTTAGACCTTATTTTAGTGTTGTAATTTCGCCTCCATCCAGCAGAGGGCGCCGCTGCCCACATTGAAGTGAAGTCAGCTAGAATAGGGTTAAAGATGGTGGAGCAATATTAAAACAATAAAGAGAAACCGTCCAGTTTGGAGTGCAAAACGCACTTTATGCTGTTCTGTTTTGAACCATAAACGCTCAACAAACTCAAGTTTAACCTGATGGTGCGCATCAAGCCGAGCTGCGACCGAGTGAGTCATTAGAGCCGTTTAGATACAAAAAAAGAGCAAATTTATGCCAAAAATCTAAAAAAAAAACAAACATGGGTTGCCTTGGTGGCACAGGGGCGAAGCACAACCCACCTATTGAGGCTTTGGTCCTGGAGGTCACAGGTTTGATTCCCGGCCTGGTGACATTTGCTGCATGTCTTCCCCCCCTTCTCATTACCCTCTTTCCTGTCAAACTACTTTCAAATAAAAGTCACTAAAAAATTTATGAGCTCCAAAACACAAACATTTGCTAGAAAATTCTCAGATTCGACTCTGATTTTCTAGAAAAAAAAACTCTGAAATTTCAATTCAAAAGTCAAAACTGAAATTTTGTGATCTCAAATTGTCAGAATTTTTTTTACTTTTCAAACTTTTAGACTTTCCAAAAATGTATTCAACTTTTGAAATTTCCATGGTTTTTCTAGACAATTTTTCTCAAATTTCAGTTTTTTCTAGCAAATGTTTGTCTTTCCAAGCTCAGAAATTTCCACGTTTTTTTTTTTTTTTTTCATAGAAAATTAATGAAGTTAATCTACAATTTTCTGGATTTTTTGGTGCAAATTTACCCATTTTTTTTATCTACATTAGCCCTAATACACTGTTGTATTCACTCACTCGAAAAGCTCCTTAAACTCTCTGATTTGAAGAGAAAGCTCTGGTTTTTAAGAAAACGGCTGCTTATCAATTAATTGTTTGATTAATCATTCGATAAGAACAATCTTATCCTAGCTTTATATGAGCTCATGAATCAATAACTTGCATCCCTGCTTTGAGTAAAAATGATTAAAAACACCTAATCTAACACCCAGAACCTGATCCCTGTGGGTTTGTTTTAGTCGATGGTGGCCGGAAGTCAGTGACCCACCCGGTGAATCCCTCCAGCCCTCAGAGACCTGCAGCCCGGACCCAGCAGGCGGACGGTGCCGCCGTGCTTCCAGAGGCATCCAGGAAAACAGTCGTATCAGCGGTAGACGGGAGCAGCGCCGTTCCTGCTCAGAGCCTCAGCGAGCAGCAGGGCGCGTCTGCTAACCAAGGTAGGAACAAGGTTTATAATCGAGTTAAAGGACATCGGTGTGATGAGTCTACTCCAGTTATTTGTTTGCTAAACAGTAGGATGCTCTCCTTAGTGCTTCATGTTTTTGTAAAGCAGCGTGTTTGTGGGCATGAGAGCAGATGGAGCCTCCAGGCGGCCGCTGAGCCAACAAACCACTCAGCATTCCCTGAGAAAGCAGCTCTTAGCCTGCATCCCTTCTCAGTGCCAGAACAAAGCTCCCCTGTCTCTGATGCCATCTGATCCCTGAATTAGACCAAGACCGGCCAAAAGGCCGCCTGCACCACGGCTGTTTTAACACACTGCGTATTATATGCCTGAAGTTCTCTGAAGAATGAAGCTAAAGAAGACCAGAAGACGGTTTTTGGTCTAATGATGGTTAAACGTGTCATAATCACTTTGTTCATTGCAAAAAATAAAATCTCACCAAGTATTTATGGTCTAGTTTCTGGTGAAAATACCTTGGTGCTCTTGAAATAAAACAAAACTAACTTGCAGGTAACTTTTAAGCAAGAAATAGCAACATCTTTTCAGTAATAATTCCTTAATATTGATGAAAAAGAACTAGTTATCTGTGAAATAATCTGCCAAAATAAAATGTGTTGTTCCAAGTTAGTTTTGTCTTATTTCAAGTGCACCAGAAACTAGACCAAGAATACTTGTTTTTAAATTTAAAAAAAATATTATTATTGAAAGGAAGTTGTTTCGAAAAGAAAGATGATTAAATTGCAGTTTCTAGATGCACAAACCTGGTTGGGGTTTATCCCAAAGACCAGCTGGGATTTCAGTGGAAGCAAGTCTAGATTCAGGGACTGAATACATAAAATAAAAGGAAACAGTTTATATTTATCCTTCTTTGTGGTAATTTTGCATTACTTTGTGCTGTTCTATCACATAAAATCCTGTGAATTTGGGGTTTTAACATGACAAAATGTGAAAACGTTTCAAGGAAATTAATACTTTTGCAGTATTTTGCAAGGTGATGTAAAATAATATTTGAAACGTTCGTGGTGTGTGTCTGTTTCTGCAGATCCGTGCGCTGCAGATCCGGTCGTTGGCCCCTGTAAAGGCACCTTCCCTCGGTGGTACTACGACCAAACGGCCCGAGAATGCAAACACTTCCTGTACGGTGGTTGCCAGGGTAACCACAACAACTTCCTCCAGGAGTCGGACTGTGTCAGCGAATGTTTGCAGAAAAGTAAGAAGATGCATCATTTGATTTCTGCTCGTTTCTTTTAATCACAAGAATCTGAAGATGTATTTTCACGCTGATGTCGTGTTTTAGGCTCGGCCGTCAGCCCAACCAGTGCAGCCGCCTCCGTCACAAGGCCGACTGAGAAAGGTAAAAACATATGTTCACAAGCGATTATTTACTCTGACGATTCATTGATTAATCAGATAAAAATGGCTGATTCTGCAGATTTTTCATTTAACCATTTAAGCCTTTTTAGGTACAGTATTAGAGGTACATTAAAAGATGCAACTGAACAAATAATTCAATTATTTTTCAAATGAAAAATTAATATCTGATTGCTTAAAATGCATTTCTTTAGTAAATTTATACCAAGTGAAGCTTGGTATAAGCTTCACTTGGTATAAGATAAATTTACATTTATCTTAAATGTAAATTTATAAATATATTTGTACAGTTTTAGCTTAAATACTGCTCTGAATATGTTGTTTTTTAAATAAATTGTGTTTATTTTAGTCCGTATGCTCTAATTAACGATTATTTCAATAATTGATTAATCCCATTAATTGCTTCAGCCTTACAGTGATCTGGTAATTAGTTCTTTTTTCTGATGGATTGTAAGATTTTACTTTTATCCAGGACTTTACAGCATATTCGGTTATAGTTCTGCACAAAAATTTTTAAATTGTTACAGAAAAACTGAGAAAAGCCTGATTGTTGTACCTCAAATAAATATGCGGACATTTGAATCTGTTTACTCCAGTTAACTATTAATAGATAACTAGTTGCAGATTATTTCAATAATTGATTGATTGCAATTAATCCAATTAATCTTTTAATATGCAGAGATTATGCAGACTTTCAGACAGAATACAGTGTTATTACTGCTCTGATTTTTTCCCCCTGAAAATAGCCTTTAGCTTAGTAATTTATTCTCTACTTAACAATTAATATATTAGTTGATGATTAATTCATTTGATTAATCGTGATTAATCGTTTCAGCTCTAGTCTACTGGCTAAAGTCTTGTCTGTATTAATTGTTTAAGCTGCGCCTAAAGTTTCCAAAACCCAAGCAGAGAGTAGCGACATAATCTCCAAACCATTTCCAGTTAAAGGCGGACACCCAGGCCCGGAGTCAGGTGAGTCCGGTTATCTCTGCTCATATTTGAATTATAATTTCTCTGCAGGTGAAGCTCTAGTTTTCTTTCCTTCAGGTGCAATTCTTCCTCTGGCGCTCGGCATCCTCATCACCGCCCTGCTCCTGCTCATGATCGGCTGTCGTCTCAGACTCGTTCGTCACAAGCTAAAGAAAGCGCGACCGCTCACCACCGAGGAGTCCGACTACCTCATCAACGGCATGTATCTGTAGCCTAGGAAGCTGTTAGCGCTTCGTCTCAGACTGAAACAACCATACGCTCTGCCGCCCTTAAAAAAAATCTAATTACAAATCAATAAAGATGTATCGTTTGCTGTTTAAAATCAACCAAACAACCCGCTAAATTACATATCAGACATTGCTCCTGCACAAAACGTCATTTCTGCCACTAGGGGTCACTGATGTGCCATGTTTGTGCTGCACCTGTTACCACAGCTAGCTTGAATGAAAGACGAGTATTTGAGTGCCCGGTTACCATGGTTGCCATCCATAAATCCTGTTCGAGTCCGAATCGGTTAAGCCACACCGTGTCCTGCGAATCGTCCTGTCTTTACAGCATGTTTTTTTTTTTCTTGTGATAAATCATTATAAACAATTTTATTTGGTTTAATGTTTGAAATAAATAAAATAAAAGTACCCCATGGAAAGGAATTTTACAATATTGTGGTTATTTGTATTAGTTAATTTGTCTTTTCTTTAAGATTGATGGGGAATTTACTTACACAGGTATGTGTAAATAAAATACTAAAACGTTAATATATCTGTAAATAAAAAATATATTTCATGCAGATGGATATAAATGAACATTTAAATATTACATAAATATTACTAAGTAATAATTTTGCAGAATTCAAACTAAATTTTGAGATTTCTGAAAACCAAGTTATTTAAGTTGCTGTACATTTTTTGCAACATCCTACAAACTTTTGTCACATGACTTTTTTGAAAAAAAGAGGCAACTTTTTAGAGAAATATCTACTTTACAAACGAATAATTTTCTAAAGGCCAGCATTTTACCTCAGTCTTTAGGATTTAAAATAAAGAGGACAGATATATTTTTTAAAATAATTTTGATTCCAATATATTAAGGAAAACATAAAAACATACAACTACTTCTTTTAGTTTAGTGTTGCGGGAAAAAAATGAAAAATGGTTGAAAATGTACATTTATTATTGATCTATCTGTACTTAAAAATGCTAACTAGTAGCTTTTAATTTTCAGCAAAAGTCATGAAGACTGGTTTAGAGAGACTGAGTTATTTTTGTAAAATTGTGCAAGTTGGAACCTTGAAATGTTACGAAATTAAGTGTAAAACCTGCAGTTTGTTCCCATCTGCATTGACTGGGGAAAAACACGAAACAAAAAACTGCAAGAAAAACATAAACATCTCTTTATTTTCATATGCCATTCCAGATATTGCGAAAGCCAAATATCATCAACCACTTCAATCCCTCCAAATAAAATGTGCTTTTTTTGTGTATTATTCTTTTTTTTTCTTCTCCAAGAAAACAGACATTTGCTTTATATTGTTGAAGTTTATTTTGGCAAAGCAGTGACTCTCCCAGTTAGTGACCGCACACGTCGGAAATGGAGACCAGCGGCAGCAAACGACACATCACCTGGTGGGAAGCGCAGCCCTGTACCTGCATGCGTTTTGGTGAGTTAGGTGCTGTTTCTGAACTTTATCCAGAGAGCTGAGTGTTTCATACGTGACCTAACGGTTCTGCACATCGGTCACGGTGTTGTTCGTGTTTTCTAATACTGCTGGCAGGGAGTTGGGGGGAAAACAAGCTTATATTCTAGCAGAAAAGTCTACAGTTAGATGATCCACACACACACACACGCACACACACACACACGCTGTAGCTAGGTGAATTATCTAAAAGTCTCCGGCGTTTTCGTTCTGCTTTCCTCGTACATTCAGCTTTGACCCTGCTGAAATGTAATGTAAAAACACCTGACTGCAATTAAACAAAAAAAATTAAACCCAGCAGTTAGAATTAAATTAACCAAAAGATGGAGGCCTGGAAATAAAAAAAAAAAGAAGAAAGAAAAAGCCCATCTTGAATATTTCTGCACGGAGCTTCAAGCAGTCTTTTCCTTGCAGCCCTTTTAGGGCCGTCAGTGTTATTTCTCCAGTCCCTCTTTAGAGTCGAACAAAAAATAAAATAAAAAAATAAAGCATGTTTTATAATGCTTGAAACAAAATTTCAGGGCTTGCTGATGCCATCCGAGTTTTCCCCAGGTTTCAAACTTAAAGGTGGATTATGGATCGTCTTCTTATTCAGAGTTCATCCCTGTGAAAGACAGACCGTGAACGTTAGAGCAGCAACATGAGAGGAAACACCAACCTGTCATGCAAACCGTGAAGAACCGCATGCAGAGCAATCAGATAAAAACAGCAGCCGGTCTGAGGCCACATCCCACAGAGAAGATGATTCAACCAGCTTTTATTGGGTAGCAGGCAACCAAACCGACTAACTAATCATGCCTTAAGCACCTCCAGCACCGCTCCTGTTACGTAACATTTTGGTTCCAAACAGGAAAAAAGAACAAAAAAAAAAAAGATAAAACCAGATTAGTGGGTGAAGAAAGTGTTAAATAAAAAAAAGGGGGTGGGGAAACGTGCAGCTAGTTGGTATGGTATGGAAGAAGCAAAAAATGTCTACAAGCAGCAAAGTGCAGCCTCTTGTGCTCCATTGCCTGCTCCAAGCCACACCATTTCACCTTTGCCACTGTGAGAAGGAGAGAGAGGGAGGAGGGGGAGAAGGAAGTCACTTCCACCTGGACCACTGCTTGTCTCTGTCTGTTAAAGGCACATAAATCACCCCCATCAAGGGCTTCATCTTGGTGCTGCCGTCCTCCATCTTGTCGTATTGCTCCAGCATCTGGTTGCCTCCAGCCGGGCCGACCGGGAGAATCAGACGCCCGCCGGGTTTTAACTGGTCCAAGAGCTGAAGAGGTGGGTGAGAAGAGCGTCGGTGTGGTTAAAATTATAATGAAAAACCAGTTACAAGGGATTCTGGAAGTTCAAATCTGCAACAAATGTGTAAGGACAAGGAAAAGCAAAATATATATTTATGCTTTTATTTTCTGTTATGTCAGTTTTGACGGACTCGGAATGACTCACAGCTTGGGGGACGGTGGCAGCTGCTGCACCGACATGGATGGCGTCATACGGCGCCTCCTCTGGGTGACCCATCCTCCCATCGCCCACTGGAAGAAACGCAGCAGGAAGTCAGGAGACCAGACTCACCACAACACCGACAGCCAGTCACTGACGACACCACACGGTTTTCCTTCTATCATCCAATAAGTCATAAATTGGACAAAAAATTTGATTTATTCTTAAAATAATGGTGGAAACATTCAACACAGACAATTAGGGCTGAAAATATTAATCAAATTAATTGACTATTGAAATAATCAGCAGCTAATTTAGTAATCGATTAATTGTTAAATTGAGTACACATATTTTGAAAAGGGCTATTTAATGACAAAAAAAACCTCATTCAGGGGAGATTTTGCATTTAAGATAATTTTTTTTTAAATCCTGTCTGTAAATAAATGCCGACAGGATGTATTTACATTCTGACAGGATGTGGCATTTTTAGCCTCATGTGGTTCAAACTGACTAAGAAAAATCTCTTTTCACATTCTGCTTTCTAATTATTAATCTGTTAATCCAAAAATTAATCCAGACGTCAGCCGGACTGATGGCAGAAAAAGCTGAGCTTTTCAATTATTGATGTTAGAAGTATTTTTTAGCTTACCATAAATAAAGTAATAACATATTACAGTAAGTTTTTATTTTCTTATTTAAAAGAGGAATACAATTTATTTCCTGCATCTTTTCTAAAAGTGTAAGAAAAAAAGGCTTGAGTGGTTCGTAGGGATTCTGCAGAATGGGCCAGATTTTTTCCGATTTATCGTCACAATAAATCGATTAATCGATTACTAGAATAACTGTTAGCTTCAACAGAGAATGCAAGAGAAAGAAATGCATTCTTTATCTCAGCGTCAACTACGATCGCTCCAGTTTTCATCCCGTTTCATCAAAATTCATTTTTAAATAAAAATTTTATAAATCACTGTATCGGGAAGATAAAGCAAGTTTATCAAACAATTAATAACATTTATTTTTTTATATCTTTTCACCCATTTTATTGTGGTATACATCATATTTTTTATTTCTATACATGCTACTTGCTGGTATTGCTGAAATCTGATTTGTCCAAGCACTTGAAACCCGAAGGACCCGGTTGCAGCTGCACTTTCACCCTCCTGCAGAGATGGTGAAAGTGCTCACTGCTGAATTATTCAGAGCTGCAGACTCTCTGCTGAGCAAATCCATCCTGCATCGGTGAGGAGCAGCAGCAACGGTTCAAGCTGCAACATGACAAAATAAACCCAGATCGCGTCTGTCGTCCACCGTGTCTCACCTATTAGCTTGACTCGGCCTGATGTTATCAAGTTGGGGTCGTCTTTCTTCACGTTGTTTACAGAATCGTCTACCAGCTCTTTGATGTGATCGATTCCTATAACTTTCCCTTTAGGGCCTACCTGGAGAGCACAGAACGGGTTCAGTTCAATCACAAACCACTGAAAACCATTTCACACCATCTACTGTGATTGGTTGGGCTACGAAGCTGCGTGCTAAAAATCAGGACGCTACCAGAGAGAAATCACTTGTGTTTACCCGTCCTGTGTGTGGCTCACCATTCGTGCAAAGCAAACGGACAGGATTCCACTGCCGGAGCCGACGTCCAGAGCTTTGGCTCCCTCGTGCAGCTGATCGTGGAGGAGCTCTAGTGCATAGGCATGCTGGGAGGACGGAGAGTCCAGAAAGACAAAACAGAAACGGACAGGGCAGGGGTGAGCTTCAGCACTAGACTGACAGTAGTTTTCAGCAATATTTAAAACGCCTGACCGGCCGATACCGGTTCTGTCTGACAAGCTGGTAAATGTGGCAGAAGAAAAGGGGAACATTAGAGAGGCAAATCTTTCAGTGTCTAGAAATTCGATACTAATTTTTCTATTCAAACGATCGAGAGATTCTGTTTAAAGAGGAAAGGACGGTTTAGGCAAATAAAACATTTATTTAGGCAAATAAAACATTTATTTCAAATACTATCAGTTTATATTTAAATAAAAATTGAGTTTGTGTAACTTAAATGACCTGCATCAGGTTAGCTTAGCTGCCTGGCTTCTTCTTAAATAAAAAAATAACAAAAAATGGTAACACTTTATTTGAAGGGGGGTTAATAAGACTGTCATGACACTGTCATAAACATGACATAACACCTGTCATAAACATGAATAAACCTTCATGAATATTTATGACTGTTGTCATAAAGCGTCATTCAGTAAATTATGACATTTTTAATACAAAGTTGACATTATTCAAAATGTCTTTGTTATGACAACTTGACATTAACTAAGAAATCATTACTGTTTAAACTTTACCTTTAATAAAGTTACCTAATTTTTAAAGTGCAATCAGTAATACTTTTATAACAAATTTATATCAGTAATGATTTATTGGTTAATGTCAAGTTGTCATAACAAAGACATTTTGAATAATGTCAACTTTGTATTAAAAGTGTCATAATTTACTGAATGACGCTTTATGACAACAGTCATAAATATTCATGAAGGCTTATTCATGTTTATGACAGGTGTTGTGTCATGTTTATGACAGTGTCATGACAGTCTTATTCACCCCCCTTCAAATAAAGTGTTACCCAAAAAATTATTCAAGATACAACTCTAGAAAAAATTGAGACCACTTATGATCAGTTTCTCTGATTTTACTGTTTAAAGGTTTATGTTTGAGTAAAATGAGCATTGTTCTTTTATTCTATGAACTACTGACATGTCTCTGAAATTCAAAGCAAAAATTTCTCTTTGCAGAAAATGAGAAATTGTCAAAATAACAAAAAAGATGCAAAGAAAACAAGTTTATATTCATTTAAAAACAACAATACTGATGTTTTAACTGAGGAAGAGTTCAGAAACCAACATTTGGTGGCATAACCAGAATAACTCAGGACTATGATTCTCTATTGCATCAGTTTCTTATCTAGGTTGGGCTGAAACGATCTGATTAATTGTGATGAATTTAGTAATCGAACAATCATCATCTGGAGCATGCAGACTCAAACCAGTCATTTTCTGAAACAACACAGAGCAGCAATTAAGGAAAAACTGTACATGTTGCATTTAACATTAAAAACCTTTACTTGTAAATGTGCTCTATACTTTTAGCTTCACCTGGTTCAAATTCTGTAAATAAAATCTTCTATTAAGCAACTCTGACTGTCCAATTATTGATTGGTTAATAATAAAAATATTATTCATCTGATTAGTGTTACACTGTATTGATGTTTCTTTTTAACTACAGGATCATCCTTTGCTACAAATGATCAACACTGAAGGAATGAAACTATTGAATTTTAGGCAATAAAATGTTAATTTCTTTAAAAAAGATAATTGTGTATTTCCATTTTTAATATTGTATAATATTAGCTTAAGTGGCTAAATGAAAAAGCTTAAGATTTCTTGATTAGCCATCAGCAGAATAATCGACTACTCCATTACTAAAATAATCAGAATTAAGGAAATCAGGGCCGATTTGTTGGTGTACCTCCAAATTTCACCCAAAATAAACACAATGTACCGACACAAGAAACGCTTTTAGCTCTTTTCTGTTTCCATTAGATCATGTGACCTAACAGAACCAGAACCAAGTGTTCAAAGTTGTGGGTCAGAGTGTGTGGAAACACGCAGAGCTCGTACCATGTGTGGGGCGCTGATGGTAGCTTGGTAGCCTTCGGATTGAGAGAGAAGCACAGGATCTGTTAGTTCGTCCGTCAGAAAGGAGAGCAGACAAAGTGATGGCAGGAGAGGACGCACCTATTGACTGCGGCGAGTCCATGTACGGGTTACACCTGGAGTAATGTGCTCTGTCTGTGGACAGCATGACTTCATACACCTTGTCAGATTTAACAATGCCATTTTCTGAGGAAGAGAGAGAGTTTGGGTCACTGCATTTTACCGTTGACCAGCTGGACGACAAACTGAATTTATCACGATAAACGACATTCATTTTGATTTCAGACCATTTTTTTCAACTAATATAACGAAAATGGAAGAATAATAATGCAAGAACACATTGTCAATAAACTTTCACTGGAGCTGGGAGACATTTTAAATATCCAAAATGAATAAACAAAACAACAAATTAATGAATTATGAAGTCTCTGCAAATGCAATTTTCTTTAAAAAAAAAAAAAGAAAAAAGAACCCGAAGCACCAGACTGAAAGCTTTAGTCATCCAGTGTTTGGTAGAAAGAGAAAAAGGATAAATCATGCAAATTGATTAACGTGATTGATTGATTGATTGATTGCAACAGACAAAACTGACAGAAACTATCAGAATAGTTAAAGATCTTCTATAGCAAATCTCCCTGAAGAGATTTCTGCAAATGACTCTAGAAATATGTTTTCTTTTCCTTCATGTTATAGTCGTTCATCACTTGTTCCTGCAGCATCTTGTGCCAGCAGCAGGGAAAGCCAACTGCAGCCAGTTCCTCCTTCCTCGCTCTCCTCACCCTCACAGCTACGCACCGCTTCAGGACACCAATAATCTGCACAAGCTGCTACACCTACGACAGACTGCTCAAATCTAAATTGCAAATAAAGCCACACTTCAAGCTGCTTTTGGCTCATTCTCCATTTCTTTTTATTTATTTAAATCTGTTTTTTTTTTTTTTTTTGTCAAAACAAAGTGAATTCAACACTGACCCACAGCTATACGTTCAGTTTAGGAGCCGTGTTCGACATTCGCTGTGGTAAATCGGCTCAATAAAACGACTCCAGTTTGAAAACCACCTTTACTGCCTGGCCTGACCCGGGAACACAGAGGAAGGACATTAGTATGCGCTCTACGTGCGACCTGTTTAAGGCACATTATGCTAATTCCGGGTTAAATTTCCCCCATTTGTGCCTAAATAGGTCAGTGTACAACAGAAATGAGTACAAATGCCAAGAAAAGTCAAGATAAATAATCATCTTGACTCAGTTACTGAGTTTTTATTAAAGTCAGATGCTGGAGACGCTGCTTTTTATTTACAAAAACAAAAAATGCACACCAAACTTCCATTTACTGTAAACACAGCCAATTACAAATGAAAAACATCAACAACATCTCTACCGTTTCTGTCCCTTCGAAACCTGCAGCTAATGGCAAACAGCATGAAGTGCAACAATATCCTGGACAGAGTGGAATATAAATAGACCTGGTGAGATATTTAATAGTGAACGTAGACTTGCAAACCAAAGTGGGAAGACATCCTGATGTCATTTACGATACAAGTGTCACAAACATGTGACACTTCTAGCGACTTTATTATTGACGACTGCAGACTTGATCACAGTGGACTTAGAACTGCATCTGTCTCAGTTTTATTACGGCTGCAACAGTAATAAAAGCCGCAGGAGCTTGGACGATTTCTTCCTTTCGGATAAAGCTTATGTTCAGTCCAGTTCTTTTACATTAACTTTTTTTTAAGCCGCTTAACATAGCACTAAAAAATTACATTTTAGTTTGCTTTGTGGAGCATAGAGTTGCAGAAAATTGTCCATCCCACATTTGTTGTGACACAGCTGGTTGAAATAAGGTCATCATACTTTCACTTGCTTAGAAAAACTGAATGGTAACCTGAAAATTTATTTTCTGTCACAAAAATTATGGAGAATAGTGTAAAAAAAAAAAAGCAAAAGCTGAAGTTTTCTTCCCATTTTTTTTTCACGTTTCCAAGTAGAATTTTTTTAACACCTGATAGTTAATATTTTCAACTATATGCACAAAAATGATCTGAAACATGGGCACATCCATGTTTACCCAACATAACATCAGAAATGATGAATAATTTATATTTCAATTTCAAGATTTAATTTAAAAAGAATCAAGGTAGTTCTTGTTTTTTAAAATCAAAACAGAAATTTTTTTATTTACTTTTAAAAGAAAATATATAAAATATAAAGTTGACATGTTTGAAACATGTAAATATAGCATGTTTATAAGATATTTTATAACATATAACATAATATGTCAGCATTATGTCAGCAGACAAACATGATGTTTTGCTGAATAATAAATATTTTAAGTCAATCGCAGTCAGATTTTAACCAAAATAAAGACAGAACATTGAGAATATCTCTTGCAGCTTAAATTCTCTAAAATAAATAATAATAATAATTTTAAAAAAGTAATTTATGGTTTATTTTTGATTGCAAAATTTATAAAATGGAGTCAATTGTATGTCTATGCTACAGTCTGGGCGTTAAGACATAAAATTGTGGCGGAAAATTGATAAGATAAAGAAAAAGTATTCTACATTTAAAGAAAAATAGCTAAGCTAAGTGACTCGGTGCCTTTGCACAGTGCTAACCAATTGTCTGCCGCAAATTTGAAAGAAAACTGCATTTCCCTTTCTTAAATCGTGCACTAGAAACTCGTGTGATATTTACAGCTGTCACTGTCATTCACATGGATGTGCAGTCAAAGATTCAGACATCAATGAGGGTGGGCAGGGCTGCACAATCCCAAATGACGCACATACGGCTAACGGGCTAAGCTAACGTTTCCCCGAGACTTTCGCTGTGTAAGCTCACAATGCACAAAATGAAGGGAATATTTTGATATTTTTGGTTTGTTTTCTTGTCCTACAAAGACATAGGCGCGAATCTGTTCCACGCGTGAACGTGGTTTGCAGAAAAGGGGTGGGGAGAGTGGTAACGGTAGGTCAACAAACAGCTTAGCAACCAGCTAGCTTAGCTACGCTGATCCCTGTGCTAACACCAAACCTCCGAAGTGCACCGATTTACGGCGACCAGTCGGTAACAAGGTGACGGCGCTGCCGCTCCCACATGCATTCGGACTTACTGCGGAGATTGTTAACGAGCTCTGCGTGGCTGGCTCCTCCGGATTTCCACGCCATTATCAAGCAGACTTTGCGGAGTAAGTAGACAGCAGCTGTCAGTGCCGCGCCTGCGCCAACGGTTTTGCCAATGAAGCTGACAACCTCCAAAGGAGACGGCGGAGCGGCGGATACGTCACCGGACATCCAAATGAGTTTTAGCGCCTTTTCAGAGACACGTCCGAACAGAAAACGGCGTCATTTTAGTTAACGATTGATTTATTTGAATGTGCATCAAAAGCAGTGTTGGCTGAGAGGCATTAAAGCCACATTGCTCTGTCACAGTGAGATTTGCCGCAGTCACACAACGGTTTACCACTAGGTGGCGGAAAGCTTCATGGACACATGGGGGGGAAAAAAGCTTAGTTTTACGTTTGAACCTCCTGCGCCACCGTAGCTACGTACAAAGCAGCGGGCGCGTACGTAAAGCTAAGCTAACTTCAGTACTTAGAATAATAAACATATATTTTTAAGTATTAGAAAGTGTGTGTTTCAATGGAAAGTGCTAAATACGTGTCTCAGAAAATCAGCAAGACGAGATGGCGTCCAGTCTCGTATTCGTCTTTGCAGCAGCCCGATATATTTGCGATTGGATCGTGGGACAACGAGGTTAGCAGCAGTTTTATTAAAGTCAAATTCAACATTAACCATGTTTGTTCTTTGTTATTTATTTATATTTGCATTAGTAAATAAAAATAAATTTGCAAGTATGTAAATAAAAGTTGTTGTAAATAGTGGGTTTCTTTTCGCTATATTTTTCCTGGATAAGCGTTGTGTAATTTGCTGCAAAGTTGCTAGATATCATTTTTTGCTGCTGTTGCTAGATGTATATTCATATATCTTGGGAATTTCTGATATTGTATGAAATTTTTTCTCTACCTTATAACAATATTACAGTACTAAACATTGCTTGGAATATTGTCTTAGCCCTAATTTGTTTTTGGGTTTTTTTTTTTTTGTTGTTGTTGTTGTTGTTTTTTACAGGAAAACAAGGTTTCTGTTTGGTCCATTGGGAATCTAGGCAGTTCTGGTCTGGAAGATGGATTTGAAGGAGACCCGCAGCTCATCTGTGAACATGAGCATTACGGAGATGTTCTTGACCTCCAGGTAAGACGCCTGAAAGAACCATGTTATGATCTTTAAATTGGGGGGGATTTCCAGATTACTTTCCCGTGAAAAGTTACTTCATTTAACTTCAACTTTCTTCTAGTTTTTGGACCAAGAGAGAATCGTCACAGTGTCATCTACAGGAGCAGTTACCATCTTCCGCCATGATCAAAACAGTCAGGTGCAGACATATCTGCTCACATTTTCAGCAATGAAACATAATTTGTTGTGTACGTTCTCCAAAGGCTGGACTGTCCTGAGATGCACGAGGTGTATTTATGAGAACAGCATGTTGGGTGAACCCTTGCATCAAAGTTGTAGTGTCTCTGATGTTGATTTTTTATATTTGCAGACATTGTCCATTTGTAAGCAGTGGGCTAGAGCCCACCGTTACCCGTGTGACAACGCTCCCAGCACTGGAGTCGCCTGCAACAGTCCTGAAATCGTAACGGTCGGTGAGGACGGCAGGATTATTGTGTTCAGAGTCGACCAGGAAGCAGTGGTTCGAGTCATTGGTGAGAAAAACATTAAACTCCTGCATAGGGCTGAGCGTTATCGTTTAAAAATCTCAGATCTTTTTCATACTCGATCCCATTTGAATAGATTTTGTTTATTTTTTTCTGAAAAATAAATTATAAATGACAGAACATGTTTTCAAAAAGTGGCTTTCACTTTTTTCACAACCTTCTGTTGGTTATACGACAGAGTTTTAGGGCCAGACTATGAGGAGTTTCTATGGAAACCGAAGGAGGGAATTGATGGGGGTGAGGGGGGAATCTGAATTTTCCAAAAAATTAAAAAACTTAATGAACTGATTAAAATCGATTTATCACCCAGCTCCACTTTCAGTCCCAATAGCCTTTTCTTTTGAAACCCAGTGTTGAGTTAGGAGGAAGCTGCTAATTATTGTGTTGCTCAACCTGTGTTAGAGAACGCAGACAGCAGCACGCTTCATGCTGTGACTTACCTGAGGACAACAGAGGTTTTGACAGTGAACTCCATCGGCCAGCTGAAGCTGTGGGACTTGAGGCAGCAGAGCAACTCGCCATCACAGATTCTATCTTTGTAAGATAGTTTACGTACTAACTACATTTTATTCTACTTTACTTGCTTCTGATTAGACATTTTTCTTTTCCTCAACCAGGTCGAGAGATCGAGTGCCTCTTTACTGCGTTGACAGACATCCGAACCAGCAGCACATCGTGGCGACAGGAGGCCAGGATGGAATGCTCTGTGTCTGGGATGTGAGACAAGGAAACATGCCCTTCTCTCTCATGGAGGCTCACTCAGCTGAAAGTAGGATTCATTCTCACGTTATTTAAAAATTTCAAGCACTTGGCATTAAGCTCGCTAGGCATTAGGTTTGGCTTTCAATTGATTATAACAGACGCTTAGATCTTTGTAATTTGGCCGCTGATGCAAAATAATGTTAAAATTGAATGATGTTTATTTTTTAAATTCAGCATAATGAAAAATTATGGTATGGAAAGATGGTTGAGTCTCTTGATTCAATAAAAAGTTCAAGTTTTCAAGAAAATGGCTGCTTATCACCTAATCGTTAGTCTATGTATCGAATCAATCAACTTAACTCATTGATGATGACTTGCATCCCTTCTTGGCATGTGTTGCTGATGTTTTGTGTCTTTGTTTTTTGCGAGCAGTGTGGGAGGTTCACTTCCACCCTACGAACCCCGATCACCTGTTCACGTGTTCAGAGGATGGATCTCTGCTGCACTGGGAGACTTCCTCCCCGTCCGAGATGCCCTCCTTTTTACAAGGCGAGTATCTTTTAGGATTGTTATACACGGGGCCAGGAATAAGGGCGTATTCTGTGCTTTGGTTTAGATGTAGTGAAAATATAACATCACCTGCGTATCAATGTTGACAATTAATATTGCACAAAAACCTGGAGATAAAAGTTGAAAATGGCTGTTGAGCAGAATTTGAAGATTACCAGCATTGGTGCCGCAGCTATTTATTACTCTGATGATAAATTGGCTGATCAGATTTTACACATTTAATCAAACCACTGAAGCTTATCTCATCCGATATTAAAAACGCAATTAAAACAGAACAATAAACATTTTATTGCTTGAAATACAATAACATATCATTCCTTCAGTGAACGTTTGATTATTTTTAGCATCTGCAGCTAAAAATGGTTCCAACGTCAACATGTGAAAAGCTCAGCGCTTACTGCTTGACTTCGCATCAAAACAGTGTATGGCTGATCTGTTTGTTTATTTAATAACTGAGTATTAATTTGATAGCAAAGGGTGCTTAATAGGAGTATTATTTCTTTATTTTTACAGAATTTGAACCAGGTGAAGCTGGAACTATGCCACATGAGGAGTTCTACATAAAACATATTTACAGATGTTTGTTTTTTTATCTTTAATGCAAAATGAAAATTTTATATTTTTGTACAGTTTCGGCTTAATTACTGCCCTGCCTGTGATGTTCTTACAGCAAGTGACTTTTTTAGAGTCTGAATATTAAAATCACCAGAAGAATAATTGATTACTAAATTAGCTGGCAATTATTTCAACAATCAATTCATTACGATTAATCTGATTAATCGTTTCAGCTCTAACAAAAGAAGGATAGGGTTTTTCACAAAAACAAAGCTGGAAAACTGTTCAGATTAATTCATATATTATTTTATAACGCCTTCACTTGGAAATTTATTAAACAGAAATCCAAATTGACTCTTGGGAGTTCAAGCTTTTCTAAACACTGTATATTCTTACAACACATTCACTTTCTTAAAGAATGTTTACACATGTAAAAATAGGGATGCTATTTGACTGGTGAGTTTGTCAGACTGTCATCAAACAACATTTTACACCGGATAATATCTGTACTGCAACATTAGCAGTAATCTAGGTCATATTTAAAATTCATGGTGTAAAACGTTGTATTTCTTTTTATCACCAGGCGGCAGGAACAGCAGCATGACGTCCCGCAGCGCCATGGCGCCCGCCGGAGGTATCCAGTCCATCATCAGCGCCTGGCTCTATGGAGACTCCAGTAAATCCCGGCTGGAGACGACGCACATGCTGCCCAGCCAGACGCTGTCTGTGAACAGCTTGGACATGCTCGGCCAGTGTCTGGTCTGTGGGACTGACGGAGAGGCGATTTTTGTAAACAGGCAGGTCCCAGTTTAACAGAGCTGTTTGTGTGTGCAAAAAAAAAAAAAAACATGTTTTCCTCATTTCAGGCACAACAGAGCCTGGAGTTCATTTATTGTCTCTCTGTTATTGTATTTTCATAATAAAAGATGCCAAAACACTGGATGGGAACCTTTTCTTAATTAGTGTGCATGGCAAATTCACATTTGCAGTGACTGATTATTATAAATTAAAGATTTTTGTACACCATTTCAAAGACAAATAAATTTTGTACAGATGCATTTAAAACTGAGTAAATAAAATGACAAACATTATGAATTATCATGACTTTTTTCTTATCTTTACATCCATGATTGATTTCCATTAAATCATTACTGTCAGTTTGGTTTATTACATTAGTAAAGATACCAAATACTCCTGTTATTTAAATAATCCGTTTTAACAAGATGCAGGTATAAAGGTGGTGAAAGGATGAGATGTGTGTGGAACTGTTAGAGGGAAAAAAAATCAAGAATCTGGCCAAATTTCTCAAGTTTGACCTTTTAAATCAGCAATTTTTGTTTCTCATAATTACACAAAACATTAAGAGCAATTTGTTTATTCTGTTCTTCCGTTGTGATTATGCTGTTTTTATTTAGATTTACCTTTTCATATGTGTTTTCATGTGGTCGGTGGGTGTCAAACTCCAGTCCTCAAGGGCCGCTGTCCTGCAGGTTTTAGGTGTGCCACAGGTACAAAACACTGGAACAAAATGGCTTAATTACCTCCTTCTTGTGTAGATAAGTTCTCCAGAGCCTTGCTAATGACCTAATTATTCTATTCAGAGGCACATCTAAAGTTGCAGGGCAGTGGCCCTCCAGGCCTGGAGTTTGACACCCTGAAATGAATGAGTTCATGGATTTTTCTAATTACATGTTGATTTTGTTTACTTTTATTTATTAAGCATTTAGTTTGTTTCATTCACTTATTTTATTAATTAAAATCAATTTTATTTTCATTTTAGGTATGCATATTTTAGTTGATCTATTTACATTTTCATATTCTAATTAAGATTTTTTTTTCTAGATTTTATACTTGGATCAATTCATTCTTTGATATTTTTTTATATTGTGCATTTGCCGCTTCTTGTTAATCAAATATTAATCATTTTTATTTAAGTAAAATGAATCTTCCTTATCTTGCTTTAGGTTTTATCGAGTAAACAACAATAATGTTAGCGGAACTTTATTTTGAAAACCGGAAGCACTCTGTGGGGTTTGTGTTTAGCCTTGAAGCTTGTACTTGTCATTCAGATATCACAGGAATTTTAACACGACTAGGAACCAGCCAGCGGGGCACAACAAGGACGTTTTGAGTTAGAACCACGTCCCTCACACAGAGGAACCACCGGAACCACTGTTGGTTGCTGAAATAGGAACAGGTGCCGAGAAAAGCGGCAGCTACAGACAAACAGCGGTAAGTTGCTTGACGGGAGCTAACTGTTAAAAGTTCCGAGCTAGCAGGCTAACCTGTTGAATAGAGGCTAATGGACGCCTTTTCCACTCACAGGCCGTGCTGTTAGATTTCACACCGAGTTCAACTCATAATTTTAGTCACCGACAGGTGGTTAGTATATTATTTGAACTATTTAGATATTTGTGACAACCATTATTGGCATAAATGTTTTCCGACGCCTGAGAGTTAACGTTAAAGTCGCGCAAAGTTAGCGTGCGATGCTAACAAAGCTAATCAATTACAGGGATCTTGGATCTTTAAAGTAAACTATTTATCTGAAAGGAGTTTTGTTAAATTTAAGAAAATTAATATACCTTAAATTGTGGTTTATAGATCCCAACTCAAAACATATTTGTTTTTACAGCGTAATATTTGTGTTCTGGTAAATGTTTATCTGTGTTGATTGCTCCTCTCTGTCTCATTTTGCCCAACCTGTTTGGTAGCATTACGTGCATGCTTGCTTATCTTACATGCATTTAATATTGGATGTTTTCTTCAGCAGCAGCATGCAGATGTGAAAACAAGACATCAGATACCCTGATCTTCATCTCTGCGGTGGACAGGTGGACGTCTTCTTCATCCATTTTCGTCGTTCATATAAATGCTTGTACATGAGGAGAGGGGAGAAACCCGAAGGACACAAACAGATGCGACCCAAAACGTTCCCTGCCAGCAACTACAGTGGTAACAGCCAGCAGATGCTGCAGGATATACGGAACAGCCTGCGAAACCTGACCAAGCCCTCAGACCCTCCTAAAGTAGACCCTGCTGGACAAGCAAAAATGCTCCCTGAAGAGCAAAGGCACCAGGGGCGCACCAGCACCCCAAAACATTCACAACATCACAAAGCGCTACAGAAGATCCGCAAGTCTTTGGTGCCTTTTGAAGTGACTGATTCACTGAGTAATGATTCTACCACTTCTGGCCCTGATCTCAACAAGCAGATGTTGCTGGAACAACCAACTGCTGGGTTTGAGGAGGTAAGATATCCCTCACAAATGTATAATCTTATAAAGATTTGTGAGCGTTTCATTCTGTTCATACCTTTGTAATTGACTAGAAAGACTTGGTACACTTTGTGTAGAGGGAATTATTTTGAAAATGTCAGGTATGCAATGTGAAGTGACAAGTTTGTACAGTTACCAGTACAAAAGAAGTTTTACATCTGACAATCACCTTTTGGTTTGCACGATATCCAAGTATGTAGAGACTCAAAGTGCATCGCAGATGTAGTAAAGCAAGTACATTTTGTTTAAACCTTATAATAATGGTTAAACAAGCCAAGTCAATATCACGCTTTTGAATGTAAAAGTAAAAACAACAACAGACTCTGAGCATGATCGCTTGTTTGAAATGATTTTCTAAACTAAGTTATGTTTATTTCGGCCTTCCTAGGGCAACAGCAGCCGTCGGGTTACTTCAGACTACAAGGGGAAGGTGAATTACCAGGACTCGATGAGTCCTAACACCAACTCTACAGGCCTGAAAGCTCCAGGTATTACATCAGATCCACTGGGAACAGTGCAGGTTTTCATTTCTTTTATTTTTTACCCATACTGCCTTTTGATCCGGTGGCCATATTTGTTTGCAGGATTTAGGACACCTGCATAAAAAAGACAATACAACCGGTCAAAGAGTATGACTAACACCACGGTCTTTAGCGCTATGCTTTCACTGACGAGTAAAAAGAAAAAAACAGATGCATTTATTTTGGTATCAATTGGTGTTTTCCATGTTTTTAAAAGTTACGCATTTCAAAAAAATCAAACTTTTAAAATGTATAAACGGGACTATAACATACGAATATAAAACCTGGATGAAAGCGCAACAACATTTTAGGGAGCAATGCCTCCAACTTCTGTGAAGAAGTCTGTTTGGATGTGAAGTCTGAACTGGTGCAGAAGCGATTAATCGGATTAATCATGATGAATTTATGATTAATCATTAACTGTAGTAAACGGATTCAAAAAAGGCCAATTGCTGAAAAAATAGTCAGAGCAATAATGAAGCCCAAATTCTATAATAAGAATATACATTTTATATTTAAGATTAAAAAAAATAACTTTCTGTAAATATATTCTACCTAGAACTCCTCCAGTGGCATTTTTAGCTTCACTTGGATCAAATTCAGTTAAAAAAAATCTTCAATTAAGCAAATTTTGGAATCCAATAATTAATTGATTAATCAAAGCATAGTAATCAGATCATCCCTGCACTGCATTCATGTTAAATCACGCAGGAAGGACTGAGCTTTTCGCATATTGATGATAAAAGTATTTTTTAGCTGCAGATGCATCCTCTGTTACAAAGAATTACAGTAAAGAAATGCTGATAATTTAGGCTACAAAATGTTGGTTTTCTTATTTCAAAAATTTAATTATTTGTTTCCTTCAACGTATTTGTAATCTTAAACTGAAAAAAGCTTGAGTAGATTAATGAAAAATCTGTAGAATGTGCCAAATATCTTATCTAATTAATCGATTAGTTATCAGAACAATCAATTAATTATCATCATGATAATAATTGTCAGAATGATTGATAGTTTCAGCCCTACAGATGATGTTATCCAGGAAGAGTGGATGAAATTCTTCCAGGTTTATGCCACCAGTGGATAAGAAAGTGGATAATTCTTATCTCAGTAAACGTTTTGTGTTTGTGTGCAGGTCCGTCTCACATGCCGCAGGCTGTGCTGCGGAGACCAAGTTGGAAAGGATCCAAGGAGTCCCTCGTTCCTCGAATGGGTCCCCTGGTGGTGGAAGGCATTTCGTACCGCTCTGACAGCCCTGGACCGCCTCCCGTTTACCCACAAGGCCACTCTGCTAGCAACCAGAGGGTGAACCCTCCGCTGCCCCCTCAGGTGCGGAGTGTCACGCCCCCTCCGAACCGCAACGGCATGCCTCCCACGTCATCCTGGGAAAGCAACCCGTCCACCAAGCGGTACTCTGGGAATCTGGACTACCTCCCTCCGCGGATGTCTCCGGTCCCCCAGGGCGCCCGGCCAGACATGTATCCAAACCCGGCGCCTCAGAATCAGCGCTCTGCACCCCATAAATTCACCTTTCCTCCCACCTGGACTCAAAATGGCTCCGCTCAGCCGGACTACATGCAGGGAGGCAACCGTCAGCCTCCGCCGCCTTACCCCGTAAACAGCCGACAGGGTTCCAACGAGCCCCAGCCTGCTTCGTCTCCTTCGTACCTAAACGGAGGAAACATCCCTCAGTCCATGCTGGTTCCCAACCGGAACAGTCACAACCTCGACATATACAACCTGGCTCCTCCTCACACGTGGTTGCAGCCTCCTCTGGCATCCAGTCAGCCGCACTCTGCGTCCGTCACCAACATCAACCAGGACTTGTCGCCGTCGTGGCAGCACAACATCCCGGTTCGCTCCAACTCCTTTAACAATCGACCCACTCATTCGTCCAGCTCCCAGCCGTCGGCGACCACCGTCACCGCCATCACGCAGACGCCCATCCTGCAGCCGGTGAAAAGCATGCGCGTGCCGAAACCCAAGATGCACACCGCCGTCGCTCCAACGCATCCACAGCGGATACAGCAGGTTGCACCGTCGCCTCCTGCGCCTGCATATCCCGACCCACCACCTGCGGTTTCTCAAGCGCCTATCGGCGGGGAACCCCCCAACTATCAGGGTCCGCCGCCACCGTATCCCAAACACCTCTTCCCTTCGCCCGCCCCTCCACCGTACAGTGCAGGCAGAGACGAGGCCACCGACGAGAGCAGCAGTGATAAGGCTTCGGAAAGCGGCGAAAGCTCGGCCGGAGCCGAAAAGAAGATCACTACGTCGCCCGTCCCGGTCCGCCGCAACAGAGACGAGGAGCGGAGAGGGGAGTCGGGAAGAATCAGCCTGTACTCTCCTCAAGCCTTCAAGTTCTTCATGGAGCAGCATGTAGAGAACATCCTGAAGAACCACCAGATGAGGATCCGCAGGAGGAAGCAGCTGGAAAGCGAGATGCAAAGGGTAAGAAGAAGGAAAAAACACCTCTAAATTAAATATTTTTCTACTTTAAGCTTTTTTTTTTTTCAAACCTTTTGTTCACTTTTCAGGGTTCGTACTGTTGCTTGAAGTCCTTGAAAATGCATTTATAAAATTATTAGAGTATGGCTGTTAGATAATTGGCACCATTATTGTTTTATTCTGTATTGTTATTGGAAGTGATTTTCCTGGCCATTTTTCCAGTTTTAACCTCAGAATTGTGACTTAAAATATGCTGTAGTGTTTTTGCTAAAGGTAGAAATTTTAAATCCATCAGAAAAAGGAAGGATTTCCAGGATTGTACCAAGGCTGAAACGATTAATCGATTGTTGAATTGATTGTCTGTGCTCTTTTCAGGGTTTGTACAGATGTTTGAAAATCTTAAAAGTTTTAATTTCAATTAGGTGTTTTCAAGGTTTGGAAAGTGTTTTAAACTGCATAGTTTTGTTTTTAACTGCAGTTGAAACCAGATATTTTAAATAAGGCTGAAAAGATTAATCGTGATGAATCAATTATTGAAATAATCAACTAATTTAGTAATCAATTAATCATCAACTAATTTAGTAATCAATTAATCGTTAACTAGACAGGCTCAAATAAGGGATATTTGTGGAAATACCATATTCATAGCAGTAATTAAACTAAAACTTTACAAAATGTTCAAACAATTTGCATTTAAGATAAAAATGCCTTTGTCTGTAAATATGTTTAGTCAAAACGCCTCAAATGAAATAGTTTTAGCTTCACCTGGTTCAAATTTTCATTGCTTTTTTAGCAATAAAATGTTCTTTTCATTTAGAATAGGAATTATGTTTTGTTTATTTGCATTTTTAATGCATTTCTAATATTGTGTAAAGAAAACTAAAGTGGTAAAATGAAAAATCTGCATCGTGTGCCATTCGTTTTATCCAGATTTAATTTTTTTGGCTGTCTGAAGTCAGACTAAACTTTTCTTGTTTTAGGTTTGTTATAATTACAAAAAATATTTCTATTTGCTAAAAGCCAGAAAAAAAAAGACAAAAATTTTTATGGATTTGTTTTGTGGTGTTTTTTTAGTACATTGTGTTTTAGCATTTAATTTGAGCAGGAAGTTACTTTTGTTGGATTATTTAGATGGATTTAATAATTATAATTTCTAGTGATTCAATCACTTATTGATCTGTGAAACTGAAATAAAAGGTTGGTCTATATTTTATATGCTAAAGTTATGAAAATGTGGGATTTTTTAAAATTAGTGTTTTGTTCTCAGACCAGTCAAGTGTGTGAGGCATTTCAAAACATAAAATCTGCTACATTTTTAGTTCACCTTGTCCCTGCTATGCAGAATGCTGCCACAAGACATTAATAAGTAATATATTTTAGTTAATTTGTGCTGTTTTTAACTCCATGTGGTGCTGGAAAACTTTAAAAACTTACCTTGAAGAATGCTTGAATTTTCCTGTGAAATTGTGCGAACCCTGTCTTTTCTTAGCTGTTCTTTCTCTTCTCTCTCTCCCTCCTCGCTGTCATTAACAGCTGATATAAAAGGTAAACGTATCTTTGCTGTCCTGTATGTAAACACATCACTTATTCAGCAAGGTGTGTAATATCTGTGTTTTTACTGGAAGCATGGCGTCTCTTGTGCATGCATGATATCATACATCTCATCAAATATGGTGCATCAATATTTACATTTTGGGTCACAATGAGTAAAATTCAGGAAAATACAGTTGATTTAAATAATTTCAGCTGTATTTTTAATGTATTTATTGGTTATTTGCACCAGTAAAAAGCACCAATCTGGCTTTTTCTGGTTGATACTGATCAACAATGAGGTTTGACCTTTTTACCCAGCTTACTGACGTTTTAAGGACAGGAATCATCCAAAATGAGGAAAAAATTTACTGCAGCCAGTTCAACAAAATGTTTTTAGTAAACTCAGAAAAAGTGCATGCTGTTGGTAGGTGATGCATCTATCCAACCACTGAAAAAATCTGATTTTTGAATGTTTGGTCTGCAGATCAGGGAAACATTAACTAATTGAGTGGTGCGTCTCTAGTTTTAGGGCTAAAAATAAAATTTCCAATTTTTTCACACCAGATCCGATTTCAGATTTTAGTCTATTTTTTTTCCTTCTTTTTTTTTTCCCCTTTTGTGAGTTGGACGACAGAGTATTAGGGCCAGGTTACAATAACTTCTGTTTAATTTATAAGAATATAGTCATAATTGTAGCAGAGTAAACAATTTCAGCAGGAGAACATCTTAAAATTACAAGAAATATTGGTTTAATCAGACAAAACTAATAATTATAAAGATTTAATGCGAGTTGCTCAGTTTCTGTTTTTTTTTTTTTTAACTTGTGCTTCTGAAAACACTTTGTTCCTGACGTGTTAAAAGATGAAGTATTTTCTTATTTGTAAAACCAACAAAACAAGTATAACTTCACAAGATGCTCAACATTTATAATTTTATTTTTTGTTTCGGATTTGTTGTAAAATTACTTCATTCTCCTAATATTATGACCTTATTTTAGTAATACTGTCGTTTTATTTTAGCATTATTTTGACTTTATTGTAAGACTTTATTATTGTTTTACTGCAACTGTATTATTGTAATATTGTGACATAATTCTCACAATTAAAAAATTGTAGCCTGGCCCTAATATTCGTGAAATAAACAAGATGGCCGCCCTCAGCATGCTGACATCACTCCAAAGTATAGAAACCCAAAAATCCAGATTTTTCAAAAACTTTACAAATTGCCCAGCTCTGGCTAATATATATATATTAATATATTTGAATATAATATTAAATTTTTTTGATGCTGTTTTGCGTCTAACAAAATAACCCATTCAAAGCATTTTTCAGTTCCAAATCTTCATCAGATTTTAACGAGTTTGTTTCTTAGGTGGGTTTGAGCTCAGAAGCCCAGAAGCAGATGCGAAAGATGCTCTCTCAGAAGGAGTCCAACTACATCCGCCTAAAGCGAGCCAAAATGGACAAGTCCATGTTCAAACGGATCAAGACGCTCGGCATCGGCGCCTTCGGAGAAGTGTCCCTGGCGAGGAAGGAGGACACGGGGGCGCTGTACGCCATGAAGACTCTCCGCAAGAAGGATGTGCTGCTGAGGAACCAGGTGGCTCACGTAAAGGCCGAGCGGGACATCCTGGCCGAAGCCGACAACGAGTGGGTGGTGCGTCTCTACTACTCCTTCCAAGACAAGGACAACTTGTACTTCGTCATGGAGTACATTCCCGGCGGGGACATGATGAGCCTCCTCATCCGGCTGGAAATCTTCAAGGAGGAGCTGGCTCGGTTTTACATCGCGGAGCTCACCTGCGCTTTGGAGAGCGTCCATAAGATGGGCTTCATCCACAGAGACATCAAGCCTGACAACATTCTCATAGACGGAGACGGACACATAAAGCTGACGGACTTTGGGCTCTGCACCGGTTTCCGCTGGACACACGACTCCAAGTATTACCAGAGCGGTGGGTAACATTCCTCTTCACCTGATTTTAAATCCATAAAAACCAATATATTAATCAGCATTTATAAAATTAATAGTTGATGGTTGAGGGATATTTGGCGTTATAGTTTCTATTACCTTTTAAAAAAGCCTGCACAGTTATTAGAAATGCAATAACCTGGCTTTTCATGTCAGTTTTTCTTCTCAGAACTATACTATAAATTATGCTGCAGTGCCCTTATTAAAGGCAGAAATTTAAAATCCATCAGAAAAAGGAAGGATTTATAAGATCATACCAAGGCTGAAGCGATTAATTGGACGATTAATTGATTAATTGGATTATTCAAATAGTCTTTTTAGGGCTGGTACAGGTGCTTGAAATCCCTGAAAACACCAAATTGAAATTCATGCATTTTCAAGGTTTGGAAAGTGCTTGATATTCAAACTGCACAGTTTTGTAATTAAACTCTAACCTAATACTTGATTAAAAGCCTAAATTACAGTGGAAACCAAATATTTTAATTGGAACAGAAAAGATTGTGACTAATCGATTATTGAAATAATTGACAACTAATTTAGTGTTTTGCGGTTTGTACGGGTTATTGAAATCCTTAAAAATGCTTGAATTTCAATTTGGTGTTTTCAAGGTTCAGAAAGTTCTTGATATTAAAACTGCAACGTTTTGTAATAAAGTGCAACGCTTGATTAAAAGCCTGATTTAAAGTTGAAACCAAATATTTTAAGTAGGCCTGAAACGATTAATCATAATTAATAGATTATTGAAATAATTTTCAACTAATTTAGTAAATAATCATTAACTGGCGTGTACAGACTCAGAAACAGGCCATTTACTGAAAAACTATTCAGAGCAGTAGTTAAGTCTAAACTGTAAAAAATATATATGCATTTTGCACTTATAAATGCAAGATATGTATAAAAAGAAAACCTTTATCTGTAAATGTGTTTTATCCAGAACTACTCCAGTGCTGTAGTTTTAACTTCGCCTGGTTCAAATTCATTATAGGAATTATGCTATTTAAATTTAGATGATATAATTTTATGTTCTTATTTTAAAAAGGAATTTAATTATTTATTTGCATCATTTAATGTATTTATAATGTATACAAAAGACAAAGAGGTTAAATGCAAAAAAAGTAGAATTTTATCTGATTTATAGTTATTTGCAGGTCTAGATTGTACCAATTTATGCATCAACTCATTAACCATTAATTTTAGTCAGAGTTACATTCAACTCAAAACAAACGTATCAAAGTGCATATTTTTGGTCGATGTATTTATTAAGTTTTTTTTATTTATGAGCTTTAAAAAAGATCCAGTTTAATTCATGTTTACATCTATAAATAATGCAAAACCTTAAAAAATAAACAATTTTCATAAATGTGTGCTTAAGGAGCAAATTAACTCCATTTTATTTCTGCTTTTAGGTATTAAAATACAAAGAAAATATAAAACCATTGTAGAAAATCAGATGTTTCTTTTTGTGGGAAATTTGTGATAAATGAAAAAACTGTATCCAAGTTTTCAACTTGGTGACGGAAACTAGATCTAAAATAATATAATTTGCATTTACAGCATCATTATGTTATGCAAAATCTATTTGTTTTATTTAAAAAGTCCTGTTAGCGTTTGTGAGGGTAAACGTGGCTCCAGTGTAAAGCACGCTGACTGGTCACTATGACTGGAAAAGTTCTTTATAAATTCAGTTCAATTACCATTTGTCAGGAAAGCATTTGGTTCTCTGAAGTAGGGTATAAAATAATATTTTACAATAAGAAGAAAGAAAATAGTCTTTGAAAATGCTATATTTATGTTGCATTATATATTTGCATTCCTATCTGTACTATTAACAAAAACAAAATGGTAACATAAAGCAAGATTTCATCATTACAAAAAGTAAAACTATTTTTACAACGCATTAAAGTCTTTAGGTATCCCTTTGATATAAAATAATTATCTGAAAATTTCTTTAGTTTGTTGCTTTAGAAATTAAACAGATACTTACTTATCTTTCTTTAAAATTCTGCAAAATACAGTTAGCTGGATATTATATTGACCTGAACTTCTGATTAATTGTATTAAACAAGTAAACATTTTTCTTGCTTGTTTAGTTAATGATACATGCCAGAAATTCTCTTAACCAATAAAAAGACAGCAGGATGTGTGGCCTCTCTGTAGGGGATCATGTGAGGCAGGACAGCATGGACTTCAGTAAGGATTGGGAAGATCCAGCCAACTGTCGCTGCTCCAACCGAATGAAGCCCCTGGAGAGGAGAAAGGCCCGGCAGCACCAGCGCTGCTTGGCCCACTCGCTGGTGGGAACGCCAAACTACATTGCTCCAGAAGTTCTTCTTCGAACAGGTACTGACTAGAATATTACACAGCAATTAGCTCACGATTAATTGTCGATTAATTGTTTATTAGATAAAAATTGGCTCCAGTCATAAACTTACAATGGCCATTTAGACCTTCTTTCAGTGTTGTAATTTGACTTCCATCCAGCAGAGGGCGCCGCTGGTAATTCTTAAGCCGGAGCCGTTGATTCAGAAACTGTAATGGCGGAGGGACTCCGGAAGGGAAAAGGGAAAGGGTAGAAACGGAATCCGTTGTGTGATACAAAATTTACTTTTTGCGGTTCTGATTTGAAATATAATCGCTGCACGATGTCCTTAAGTTTCACCTGTAGCGCTCATTCAGACGAGCTGCGCAACGGAGCAGCTTGTAACGTCTGCTTAGACCTTTTTCTAGTGTTGTTTTTTGGCCGCCATCTAGCCGTTGATAAACAAATATGGCGGCGGGAATCCAGAACGTAAAAGAGAAACGGAGTTCGTTGTGGGATGCAAAATGCTGCGGCTCTATATTGAAAGATAAATACTAGTCAAGCTCCTCATTCAGACGATCTGCGTGACGGATTAGCATCAACTATTTAGTCAAAAATGACTGACGGAGAAGCGGAGGGGATAAAAATTGGAACATGATTGAAAATACATGATGCCAAGAAGCATGGTTGACTTTATGGAGCGAAGTAAAAACGGTACTTATTGAGTGTTTCACACATTTTGTTTCTTTACCGTCTTATTTTTCTGTTCATCAACTAAAGAGGTTCCTGTTTGGTTGTATTTTAAAACTATCCAAGTTTAATAATGTGAGAACATCAATATTTCGCCACACTTTGTCACACTAATCATAATGTACAATTAGTTGATTGCAAATTTTCCATAATAGTGGTCAAAACATTGCTAATTCCCACCTGCAGGTGGCGATATTTTACTTTTATCCCGCTGCTGCTTTAGCTTTACTTGTCAAGCTATTGTCTGTTATCAGTGTGGACAGTAATAAAAAGTCCCACATACTGTCAACAAAAGTACAAATATTTGTACATGTTTTAGTTAATCTCTACAAAATCATTCATTCAGTGATTTTGATTGCAAAACAATCACAAAAATAGTCAATATGAAAAGAATTTCAATATATTTAAATTTTATGTGCAGACAGCATATCTATTATTGTAACAGTTTGAGTTTTATCACATTCTGCCACAACTGGCCTTGATATGGCCCAAAATGAAAATGAGTCATCCCTGCATTAATCAGTAACTTGCATGTGACTGATATCTGCTGCAGGATACACCCAGCTGTGTGACTGGTGGAGTGTTGGTGTCATCCTGTATGAAATGGTTGTGGGTCAGCCTCCGTTCCTGGCCAACACGCCGCTGGAGACACAAATGAAGGTATGCCAGTGCTGCTGCGCAGCATTCTGCAGCTGCAGGGTTTGATGTCTCTAATGTCTGTGTTGTTGACACCAGGTGATAAACTGGAAGAGCACACTGCACATCCCCCCTGAACGCAAGCTCAGCCCGGAGGCGTCGGACCTCATCGTCAAGCTGTGCCGCGGCCCAGAGGACCGCCTGGGCAAGAACGGCGCCGACGAAATCAAAGCTCACCCTTTCTTCAAGAGCGTCAACTTCTCCAGCGACCTCAGGCAGCAGGCGGCGCCGTACATACCCACCATCGCTCACCCGACGGACACGTCCAACTTCGACGAGGTGGAGCCAGAAAAGCTGCGCAAGAGCGACGACGAGAGCAACCACAACGACACGCTGAACGGTTGGTTCCGCAACGGGAAGCACCCCGAACACGCCTTTTACGAGTTCACCTTCCGCCGCTTCTTCGACGACAACGGCCACCCCTACAGCTGCCCCAAGCCCATCGAGTCCGAGGGCAGCGAAGAGGACGAGGCGGAGCTGGACGACGCCGAGCACGACAGACATGGCTGAGACCTGGTGTATATGTAGTCACTGGTCGCATGCTACGGAGACACAGCAAAATTCTTTTCTTTTGCATTCCCTCACGTTAAATTTGCAAATACACCTTGTTTTTTCTCATAAGGTGTATTTGACAGGCCGTGTTTCCATTACAAATCTGTGCAAAAAAACACAATTTTGCAATTACAGCCTTTCCATTTAATAAGAAATGGAATTAAAATCACCAAAAAACACGCCGAGACATCATGTGCAATTACCACTGCACATAAAAACGGCTCATTAAGACACAACTAAACCCACCAGATCACCATGTAAAAATAACTCCTGGTCCAAATAGTTTGGATATATTTTTTCTTTCCTCCTTACAGAAACTTTCTGTCATGTTTGCTTGAGTGCGGCTGGAAAACCCAAGTTTGACCAGTTTTACTCTCTTTTGTGGCGCATTTATCCAAACGAAGAAGACGTAAAACTCTAGATAACTCACAAATGAGATATTAACATAGAATTCCTACATGGAAAAAAAACGTTGGAGAAAGGCGTTCAGTATTCATGATGCCACATAAACTGACTGCATATATTACAAGGGAATGCAAAAGAAAATATTTTCCCCATGTCCTCCAGGGGGCGCAGTGCTATACAGACTCTTAGTAGTAGTAGTGTGTGTGAAAGGGGGGATATGCCAGATAAAGCATTTTAAACCTTGAACATAGGAAGAATATTTTTGCCGGATCGTAGCAGAATATGATCGTAAAACCACATTTAAACGTTAAAACGGAACTGACCTGGAGTCAGTTTATTGAAAACTGCTGACCTTATTCCCTGAGGGTATCACTGAGATCAAATAAACAAAACTTGACTATTATTTTTACAGTTTTCTCCACAAGAGCACTAATATCAGTAAATTGAAGTTACTGTGTGCAGCTTATTGACCTAAATCCTGATTACTAGGATCACAAAACCTTAGAAAGACTCACCAAGAAAGACTTTAAGATTTATGACTCGGACCAAGATGTGCTTCATAATAGTGAGAGAGCAAGACTCTCAGCAGATAACGGGAAGGCTAAACAGAGTATTGCTCCATTTTATTTTTTCTAAGTGTTTAACTTGCAGTTAGGACATTTATCACAATAATTTGTGGTATTTATTCACATAAAGCACTGCAAAACAGAGCACTATAATTGTATTTAATCTTATTTCCTTATTTTTATTGATGCTCTTATGAAACCATGACAGGAAGAAATGGTAAACGTGACAAATCCAACCATACCAAGTTCTTAACATTTGTAAGAATCAGTCAGTTTATCGTCATAATGATTTGTTAAAACTATGTTTACAGATTAACGATAGAATAATTTCCCTGACCTCTGGCACAAAACGATACAGATCTGTTTTATTAAGGGAAAACATGTTTTAGTCATTTCTAATAGAAATGGTTAAACAGTTTATTATATATTAAAACAGTAAAATCGCCTCAGTTCCTAGTAAAGCAACAATATTTCCTCCAATAACCCTAAAATCAATATCAGAGAATGAGAAATTTGTGACTTTAGCAAATTATTTTGGAGTTTAAAAGTGATTATTTATTTTTCTTATGGCAGTGAGGAGTAATTGATGTCATTCCTAAAGATTTAAACTCAGATTTTTAGGTCCCCAGTCTTGTTGCTTAATCCAGATTTTTAATTTGTCACAATTTTGCTAAAGAAAAAAGCATTCTATGCCTGTTTGTGTGCACATAAACAGTAAATTACTGTTACAGAATCAGATCTGCCTGCATGCAAAACTAACGGCATTAATTAGTAATTCCATTTTTAATGTAAATATTTTGAAGTTTCGACCAGGGTGACAACTTATCACAGCCCCCCAGTAAAGCCTTAATTTATTGACGCTAGTGTAGATGCTGCTCAAGTCTATTTTTTTAAAGTCTTCATTTATATTGTAGTTTATTGCGAAGGGGATTGTAGAATTCACAGGGAAAATCGCTCTAATTAGTATTCATTGCTGTGCCTTTTTGAGTTACTTTTCACCACATATTAAGACTGGCATTTTAAAATGAGTAGCTGTAGCTGATTGTACTACAGTAGGTTTGTTTTATTTTTCTAATTTATCTAAAATGTATTTATAAATTAAGTTGTACACCATGGATGTAAATATTTTCTCTTCCCTTTAAGCTGATTTTTTTCCCTCCCCTCTTTTTGGGCAGGCCCTCTTCTGTTGATATGTATTTTATTTCTGGCACTAATTTACAGAACACTGTTTTAAAGTTTATTTTAGGTTTCATGCTCACATCTCAACCAAAGCACTAAATAAGGGTTTATTTTTTCTTCTTTTTACCAACTTAACAGTAATGACTTTTTTATTTTATTATTATACTTGAGCACTTAATTACTGCAATCTTTGGTCTAAAGTTTTACTTTAGTTTAAAAAAAAACACTAAAGTTACCTTATATTTAGTTTTTCTACCCCGCTGTATTTTTTTCTGTGTAGGAAAGAATATTTGAATCCTTAATGATTTAATAATGACCACCGTCATTCTGCACTGGTTTTAATTGAGAGAATTTTATTTTTGTGTACATTTTTGCTCAGAGAGGTTTGGGAAGAGGGTAATAATAAAAAAAGGAGTAAGAATTTTCATGCTTGGCCTTCTCATTGAACTGAGTGAAAGATGTTTGAACTTTTAGATATGATTTGTACTGTTTTCAAACGGCTTTTATCTTAAAACTAAACATCCAAATGCAAAAAAATAATAAAAGTAATGACAACTATCTAAAATGCTAATAACTATACTGTAAAACTATTGGAATTTAAATGGTTCATAAAATTTTGAATAAATCACAGTAAGAAGTCCATGTATACTCTAGTTTAAAGTAAATGAAAATATTCCCCAAATTTCTCATTCCTTCATAAACAAAACCCTTATGATCAACAAGAAAGTGTCGAGCTTTCTTGTGGCTAGGGTGATTTTAAACAGTTTTTTTTTAATTGTAGATGTTAGGGATGTAAACAATCGATTTAATATTGTCAATTGATGTTTAGTTCAAACGCTTTTTAGTGTTGTAGTTTCGCCTCCATCCAGCAGAGGGCGCCGCTGGTCATCCTTAAGCGGAGCCACTGATGCAGAAACACAAATGGCGGAGACTTAACAGAAAAGCAAAGACGAGCGGTCGAAACGGAGTCCTGTGCGGGATGTAAAATGCACTTTATGCGGTTCTGTTTTGAAATATAAACACTGGACACGCTCCTAGAGTTAAATAATGTGAGGAAACCACAAAATATTCAGTCAGGATTTAAGTCGGCATATTATGAAAAATTAGCTCTTTATCTTATGGGAAAACGGTGGCTCTCCTGATTCAAGAGAATACTTTTTTTTTTTTTTTGCGAGAAATTGGCCTCATTTAATCGGGAGTCAATGGATAATCTCAACAGATAACATGGATTCCTAATTCCGGCAAATTTCAAATTCAAATAATTTTAGCAATTTAGTTCAAATCTTAGATTTATGACACAATGGTATATATTAGTGTTCATTTCATTTGTTTTTTTTTTTTGTTTTTTTACTTTAAAGCAAGTAAAGGGTCTAACAGATAATATCTTGGACCAGTTTAAAAAACCTCATATTTGGGGGACAGGAAAGTACGTTCATGTACCTTACACCTGGATCGATGTTCTGCCTGTTGTAAGCCAGCAGATGGCGCCACCGACTCGAAACGTCACTGAGACCTCGGATAACTCTCCACTCTTCCTCGACCAACTTCATTTCAAAATGAGAGGAAAACTTACCTTCATCTGGAAAGAAGACTTGGTTCTAAACCTCTCAGTTAATCAATGAAGGATTTAATCGCATGACAAATTTATTTTTCTTTGATAAAACATTTTATGGTGGGTCACATGCTTCTGGGTGACATTTTTCAAATTAACTTTTTCTAGTAAGGTTTGCGCCTTATTAAATCAACATCTTAAACTTGTACACTGGTTCTTTTGTGTAGCTACAAAAGGTAAGCTACTACAAATGTTAAAATGTAAAATTTTTTGAGTTATTAACTACAAAGTCATTATTTATGAATGAAGTTTGGACTAAAACCAGTTATGAAGCTAATTATTAACCAAGAGGGTGTTCTGGTTAGATGGGTGTAAACACACTGGAGTCGCATGAAGGAGCTGAAAAGGATCAACCTACATTGTTATATCAATGTTTATACTTTTGTATCATTATACAACAATGTTATTAAAAATTCCTAAAGTTGACTAAAACAAAAACCCAGTTTCCAAAAGCAGAAGTCATTTAAAAAAATAAAGTAATTAAAAAAATTGCACCATAATTCATAAGTGTTGTCCCACTACGTTTCTCTTGGTTGTTAATGTACATAATTTCAATTTTAATAACTGACCTGGTTAAATAAAGGTCGACTTAGAAACGTACACCTGAATTTCTATTCTTCTGCAAGAGCTACAAAGAAATCAAAAGTTTAATGTATTGAGTCACAGCTTTTGTGGCTTTTCACTCAAGATGTAATAAATTAGGATATACAGCCCAATTAGATTAGTCAGATTAAAATAACCTTCAAACAGGTATTAAAAATACTTTTCATAAAGTCCACATTTGTTTTTGTATTCTAAATTTAAACGTTTTTCATTAGATGTTAGAAACTGATGAAAAGTTAATTTTCAATAATGTTTCTAATTTATTGAAAGGGTCTGCATTTAATTTTTAAAAAAATTGCTACACAACTTATCTTCATAATTATTATTTACATTGTACAAAGACGTCTATTTTTTCCTGAGATTTTGATACCAACATGAAAAGGTGCTGACGAAAATAAGCTCTCGCCACCAGGGGGCGCCAAGTGACAATGATTTGTATATTTGCTTCAAAGAACCGTTTTTATTGCTGGTACAAATAAAAGGTTTTGTACCATTAAGGACACAATAGAGATCTATGAAAAAAGTAATTTTAATTTAGTGTGCAACTATGTTGAATATTTATTAAAAGAAATAACCAGTATTCTTTTCTTAATTTTCCTTTTAATATGACGGTTTTGTTATGCAAAGTTGATTTAAGTGCATTAATTGATCAAAATATGCAAGAGGAGTTCACTAGGATATAATTTGTCCCAGTCGATGTTTAACTGAAAGGTTCAAATAACATTTATGTACAACAAATTACTCACAATATTACAAAGTATTAGGACCAGGCTAAGAAAAAAAAATTAATTACAAGAATAAAGTCATAAAGTTAGAAGAAAAATGTAATAATACAAGAATAGTTGTATGACAGTAATTCAATGTAATACGAGAGTAAAGTCCTAATAATACAATAGTAGTACTCTGTCGTACGACTATTTTCATAGTAAAATGTAATAATATGAGAAAAGACTCAATATTACGCTGATAAAGTCGAAGTAGTGTCAGAATAAAGTTGTAATAGTACGAAAATAAACTCATTACGAAAGTAGTATGGCAATAAGTCGACGTAATACAAGATTAAAGTCGTAATAATACGAAAATAAAGTTGTAATATTAGGAGAATAGTCGTATACTACTATTTCAATGTAGTATTTGGTAGTATGAAAATAAAAACGTCATAATAGGAGAATAAACATTAGGCGAGTAAAGTTGTACCACAATTAGTCAACGTTAATATGAGAATAAAGTTGTAAACTCAGTAGAATGAAGTAATTTTATCATGACTCCAACACTGAAATATTAATTAAAATTGATCATGTTGAGCATCTTGTTAAGTTATACTTTAGAAATAACTTTTTTCTCATAATTTTACTACTTTCTTCCACTTTATTCCTGTATTTTGGCTTTATTCTTATAATTAAAAAGACAAAAATAAGGACCCAATACTCCGTCGTACAACAGTTTTAACCACTGATTTAAATTATTATTATTGTTTTTATCATCAGCGATGTTAAGTCACCAGCTCTGAAACCGCCTTCAAGACGCACATGATTGAGGACAAACAAGTTAACTTAAACAAGCTTATTTTTTTAATGGATCTGCAAAACTGTTTGAATTTCCAAAGAGAACTCATGTACCTCCCGCCCACAGTTACCCAGAGGCAAACGTTACACAATGTTACAGAAACGTCTCCAACCCAAAGAAACCTGCATGCAAAAAAAATTTAAAAATAGGGGGAAAAAAAAGAAAAAACAAAACTGAAATATAAAGTAAAATAATCCATACAGATAAAAATAAAATATCAACAGGACATACTGTATAATGCCGTTCTCTTGGCTGAAGGAGAAATTCAAACGCTTTAGATTCAGTTCCGCTTCTTTGTAACTGACAGATTATTGAGCTGTAATTTCATTGGGTAGATGTGGCTCCACCCACCACAAAGCCCCGCCCCTGTCTTCCATATAAGGCACAGGACAAAATAAACCCCCACATACAAAAGGAGCTAGCCACGCCTCTGTCACTTGGTAAAGAAGTGTAAATCAACAAATACGGTAAGATGTCAGAAAGCCCACTAAAGTGTACAAAATGTTCTTCCTATTTATATATTTTCATTTTTTATAATTTTTTTTTTTTTGCCTGATTTTTCTTTTCTTTTTGTTTTGTTTTACGTCGAGTTCCTCTAGAGGTGAGAGCTGTGGGTGGGCGGTGTCAGGGGGAGAGAAGGAAGTGAGCTCAGGCAAAAAAAAAAAAAAAAAAAGGAAATATTACAAATATGAGAATTTAAAACAAATGACAAGAAACGTGACTGGATTTCTCCTTTTATCAGAAATAAAAACGATCATCAGATGCACGGTGGAGGAACATAAGGGAGAAGAACGGGGTGGGTGGGGCGTCGCTTCGACGAGTGAAGTGGTTTATTGTTTTATTCTGATAACGAGACAAAGTGTCAGTGTGAGAGAAAACTCATGAGACAGGTTAAGAGGGCGAGACGGTTAGAGTTAGCAGTTAAAGAGAGACTGTGTGTGTGTGTGTGAGAGAGAGAGAGAGAGAGAGAGAGAAGGTGTGTGTGTGTGTTAGTGTGGGTGAAACTGAGTTGTTGTTGTTCAGCTGCAGCACTTGCTCTTCCAGCCTGTCACTCCACCTCCACTGCTGATGTCCACATTTTCACTGTTGGGCTCTTTTACAGGCGTCTGCAACAAAAATAAACAAAAACAAACATCATTTTACCCCACCGCAGGTTTAGGTACTTACTGGTTACATTTACTTCAGTAACCTTTTCAGAAAAATGTACTTTTACTTGACTAATTTTACTACGAAGTATTGCTTGTCTTCTGTGAGGAAACTTTCTGGATTTTCTACCCACTGAATGAACAAACCAACATTTTTTAACCAAAAATTCACCAGATTCAATTTCTGATAAAGTTTTATATTGAAAGAAATCAATTTGGAAAATTGTTTTTTGCCTGATTTTGTCATTTGTATAAATAATTTTGGTCTTTGAAATACCAACATTTCCACTTAACTTCATATTTTGGTTCGGTTGCAGAGGGAATTTTTCAGATATTAAATGATTGATAATTTGATCAGTTGCTTGTCACTTCACAGGACACGGAAATATGAATGAGACCACAAATGTGTTTATGTAGACTGAGGTTAATGCATATGAATGTGTGTGGGTACAGTTGGATAAAATAGAAAATTAATTAACCTATGTTATAGTAAAAGCTACTGCAACATATTAAAGAAAGCTTAAAATGTCAACTCCATCATTTTGTCTTAAAATATTTGTTATAATTCTGTTTGATCTTGGTAGAAGGTATCAATAATAATAATAAACTAAAGTAGGAAATATTGCAGTGATTTGGCAAGTTAAATGGATCAATATTTAAAGGTGTCCAGCACAATTTACCAACGGAGGCATAAAACGATTGATTTTGTTTAAATATTTCTGCAATAATTTGACATTTTGCTTCTCTCCTGGTTGAATTGAAGAGTACACGTCCAGGAAAACTTGCGCTGACTTGGTGACAAAAGTCACCTGTTGCCCTTCATGATCCCCAGACGGCGTTGATCATTTATTTTATCTGGACAGGAATGCTGCCGGACCTCCCTCACTTATCTACACAGGAACCAACTGTCTGACGTAACAAACAAACTTTGATGCGAAAAGCAAAAAGCTACACAAACCTTTCTGAGGATGTCTTCTGCTAACGTGAGGAAAGCCTTCTCGATGTTGATGTTGGCCTTAGCACTCGTCTCAAAAAACCTAATGCCATGCTCCCTTGCAATCTATGAACACAAAAAGAAAAATAAAAAAACAGACTTGGAAGCCATGGATGTTGTTCCATTAAAGTCCAGTCTAAATATAAAGTTGATCTTCTTTGCAGGGCTGAGATCAGGTATCGCTGGTTTATTGCACAACACTCATCAGGTGAGATGGTGCGAGTGAGCAGCTGATGTCTCATGGTGTGAAAAGGAAACTCATTGTAATCTCTCAAGCTGAGTAAAACTCACAATTCTAACTCAAACGGTGCAAATCATCAATGAAAATGACTTGAAAATATCCTCAATCTCAAAATCCCAATTGGCACAAGAAAAATGTCGTGTTTGTAACGTTTAAAATATTGTGGAAAAACCTGTTTTAACATTAATTGATGTATTTTCAATTAACTATTATTTTAGTAATCGATTAATCAATTATTCTGATGATTAATCAAATTTTAAAAGTCTACAGACTTTTCATTTAGCCACTTAATTTTATACGATATTACAAACATTAAAATATGCAAGTAAACAATCAATTTCGGCTGCCCTTACCGATTATTTTAGTAATCGGTAAATCGATTATTCTGATTAATCAGATATTTAAAAAGCAATAATCTAAATATTTTTTTATTTAACAGCCTAAGACGTTTCTACAATATTACAAAAACATTAAAATATGCAAGTAAACAATCAATTTCGGCTGCCATTACCGATTATTTTAGTAATCGGTAAATCGATTATTCTGATTAATCAGATATTTAAAAAGCAACAATCTAAAGATTTTTTTATTTAACAGCCTAACACGTTTCTATAATATTACAAAAACATTAAAATATGCAAGTAAACAATCAATTTCGGCTGCCATTACTGATTGTTTTAGTAATCGATTAACTGGGTAATCCACAGATTTTTCAATTAACCATTTATGATTATTTTATACAATGTTCAGACATAGAGATTAAAAATATTCAACTATTTTTTTCAAATGAGAAAATTAATATGTTGTTGCCTGAAATACAATAACAAAGCATTTCATTAGTGAATTTGAACCAGATGAAGACAAAACTTCGCCACATGCAGAGATTTGGGTAAAATCTTTAGAGGCGTTTAAATCCAAAATGTACATCTATTTTGTACAGTTTGGACTTAATTACTGCTCTAAATCTATTGGTTTTTTTCAGCAAATTCTCTTTATTTGAGGATGTATATTCCAGATAACGATTAATCGATTACTAAACTAGTAATTGTTTGACAATCATTTCAATTAATCGATTAATTG